GAAAGTTGAACTAAACGCTAAGGATGCAAACAAAAATAACAGAAGTTTGTCTATCGTTGTCGTTGCCCCTCTATCATGTCAAAGCTAAACACAACGCTCTCAACTGAGATAGATTAAAAAACAATTGGACTCTCAACGGAATCGAAAACGGTGAGACTCCCGCCAGAGCCGGAAACGACGGAGCTCTCCACAAAGTCAGAAACAACATAATTTTAACTAGAATAAGAAATGACGAGACTCTCAATACAGTCGTACACATCATTCTAAAGAAACATGACAAACGGATCGCACATATGTAACATACCCAAAAGATAACATGTCCGGCGCCTAAATCACGCCCGTGCTGAAGTCCAGACCAACCGTCTCATGTCGTAACAAGCCTGAGTATACTATATAAGATAGAAGAATTATTAGGAACATTGCACCACAACATAGGCGATCAATCAACCCTAATGTACCCGGAAATCTCCCAACAAATATATTTTATATCTACACACATCTATCTATATAATATACATATATCTATACATTTATAAACACCCATATATATACACTATACTTATATAGACAATATAGATATATATATTTGTTTATCTATATTATATTATTTTTGTCCAGCTCGATGGGTCTCATTTAATTTACTTTTTGCGTGTTGATATTTACATATTAATTATTATATCAAAACGTAGTACAAATTAAGAAAAAATTACAAAAATGCTTCAATTAGTATTTCTAATAGAATGACATTTGTACAAAAAAATTATACAAATATAAAAATATTTTTAATATTAAGTACAATGACACAAAAGTTAAATGTGAGGCGGACTAGCAAGTAAATCTAAATTTGTTATATTTTATAATTATAATAAGAGAGAAATAGAGCCCTGATTTTAGTCTACATGCAAAATATATATAGAAAAGAATATAGTGTCTTTACTTGTAAGATTTTTCATCTGATTTTACTATTTCAATTTTTATCTGACAAAAATATCAAATTAAATATTTATTTTTTATTTATTAGATTAATTAAAATTTAATTTATATTCAAAATATCACATCAAATAATTATTTCAAAACATATGATGTTAGTTCATAATTATAGTTGTTTATGAGAATATATCATGTACTGCTGTTAAGTCATATGTTGTATTTGTATATATTAAAGTATATTATGTGTTGTTTATGATGCACATTGAATTTTATATTCCACACTGTAATCCACGAGGTGTATATATATATATATATATATATGTAGACATAGAAAATGGAGTGGTTATTATTAATTATATTTTTAATTCTTGTATTGATGAAATATATTCTATATCCTACCAACAACACATTTGAATATGAATACTATTGAATTATATGTGCAAGAAATATAGTAGATAGGTATGTCTTTATTTTTTTTTTAGTTGTTTTCGTTTTTTTAAAAATAAAAATAAAAATTGGGTATATATTTGTTTGTTTGTGTTTTTTTTTTTTTTTTTTTTTTTTTTTTTTTTTTTTTTTTAAGAATACTTAGGTGTGTATAAAATCGCAATTGTTTTATAGTAAAATTTTAAAATTAAACTCTTAAATATTAGCCTTTTTTTAATCATGAAATTTTAGATTTTTTTTTTTTGTTTTGATTTTTTATTTGAACAATAATTTACATATGTTTTGATTATTTTTTTTTGTTTTGAATATATATATATATATATATAGATGCGTGTTCAATTTTTTCGTACGGATTTTAAAGTGTGTAATTATAATTAATACATTTTGTCTCTTATAAAATATATAAATATCTATATATGCATATATTTTTTTTCTAAAAATCGTGTGAATACAATTTCATGATAACAACAAAATAAAAATGTACATAAATTTTGTATCATAGAAATAATTTGTTTATAGAATATTGAAATTGGCGGTTTGACTCAATTAGAAAATATTGATTCGATCTTATTAGCAAATGTTCAAAAAAAAAAAAAAAATAATAACAAATATTAATATAATACTACGTTGGTTCGGCTTTAAGAGTTATGTTTATTTTTCTGTGTGTTGATTTTTTAATATTAATTCTTATATAAAAACATAATGCAAATGAAAGAAAAAATTGCAAAAAATACTTCTATTAATATCTTATAATACTATCACAACGACTTTATGTAAAAAATTATATAACTATAAAAATATGTTGAATATTAAGTACGCCAAAGATAAATAAGACCTTAAGTCAAACGGAAAGAGTTTATAATAGTAGTTGATTTGACCAAATTAGTACCGTATGGTCACGAAAAAAATATATATACTCATATCAAATTTAATAATTATTGTATTTAAAAAAAAAAACAACTTTTCCTATTATTTTAAATAATTTTTATTTTATTTTAATCATAACTCCATTTTTTTACTATTATTCTTCAAATATTCAATTTTTCCTATTATTTTAAACAACTTTTATTTTTATAATTTAAAATAATTTTTTTAAAAATTTAGAAAAATTAAAAATAAATTTAAAATTTAAAAATTAAAAATTTTAAAAAATAAATAAAAAATTGGCGTTGCTACTGTGCAAAGCAAAAAAATGAGGCACAATTTGGAGTCGGTTTTTTTTATTTTTTTATTTTTTTATAATTTAGCGTCGGTTGTCAGTTGTCGATTGTCGGTTGGACAACTAAATTTACCAACCCCGGTGGGTTGGAGATGACTTTATCAAACATATCTTGTAAGTATAATTTCATTTATAAATAAATATCCAATTTCTTAATAGAGTAGTAGACAGCTTCAACTACTATCATCTCACACACACGTTTTTTCTATTAATTATGATTTTATTTTTCAAGAAAATATAATCCATTAATGTTTTATTAAGAATTTAGATATTCAATTTTCAAATGATCTAAGAAAATCAGTCAAAAACTAGGTAAATGAATTTCCTAATTACTCTAGAAATTTTTTATGATATAATATTTTGTATTTAAGGATTTGGTAAATAAAATAAAATGAAATAAAAATCCGTTGAAAAAAAATAAAAAATCACACCAATTGACTCGGACTCGAATTGTATATCTCATTTATTACTATTAGGCTGATCCTCTTTAGTTTTGGGCCTCGATTACCTCTCTCCTTCGGTGGGTAAACTGATTTTTTAAGTACAATTTTATCATTTTAATTTCGTAATTTATCGCAAATTAGTTTAAGTTAAAAAATTTTGCAATTTTAATCATTTTGGCATGGAGATGCCTACGTGGCACCCATGTAACTCGTCGGATGACACATGTCTGCCAGATCAACGACACATAATGGACAAATGGATTTTTTTTTGAAAATTTTGTTTTTACAAAAAAAAAAAAAATAAATAAATAAATTTAAATTTTAAATAAAAAAAATCTATATATCCGCTGGCGAGCCACCCGGGTGCCACGTAAGTATTTCCGGCGTTTGAGGGCTAGAAGTGCAAAAAATTTTTACTTGCGAAACTAGTTTGCAACTTGCTCCAGTTACGAGACTAAAATGATAAAGGGGTCCAATTACGGGACTAATAAAATCAATTTACCCTTGTATCTTTTGGATCTAACAACAATTATTATCAAACATTTGAGCTAAAATTACGATACATAAAACCATAATTTTGATATAAATTTGTGAGTTTTTACAATTTCGTAACTTTTTAAAAATGGACATATATTATTTAATATATTATCAACATGACAGTTTTTTTTATTAATCCTGCTCGAACAAGACTCAATAAACTCGGATCTTTCATTTTAATTCTTCCTTAGGTCAAAATTGTTTCAAGCACTGAAAAAATCAAAAGCGCCCCAGAAAAGAGGACTGGTTATTCACTGATGGTCAGATCGCTTACTACTAGGTTGGATAGGGTGTCAACCTCCTTCTAATGCTACTTCTTGATAAAAAACTCCTTTTGAAGTTTTCGTTATCGGGTTAGTCATGCACTTTTTAACTTTGATTAAAAAAAAATCTAAAATCAAATTGAACTAAATAAAATGATGTTTATCCGGAGATGAGATCGAGCATCAAGATGATAAAATATTTCATGGGCAAATCAATATTCATGATTTTTTTTTCAAAAGTTTCATGGTATCTAATAGAAAAGAAAATACTTAAAATTAAAAATACGAAACAAATATACTAAAATTTTAATGTGATATTTTATATGTAAAAAATATACTATATTCGTCCGGATTCTTTTTTGCCACAATGTTCAAATATAAAAAAATAATAATATTTTAATATAAAAGTAAAGTAAGTAAATTAAGAATATTATAAATAATTTATCAAAAAACAAAAAAAATAATAAGATAAGTAAAAAAAAAACAGTAGCAAATTAGTTATTATTGGTTAAAATATGTATAATAAAATTATTAGCAAATAAAATTATTTATTATAAATAAATTATACATGGATAACTGAAAAACTGACATAATTATTTCGGAGGGTGTGTTTGTTTTATATTTTGATATTTTTTATGTGAAGTATGAGAAATTATGTAATATAAAAAAAATATACGTAATATATTACTCCCTCCATCCCACATATCATATCTCCGTTGATATTTCTGTCCGTCCTACGTTCCATATCACTTTTTTTTTTTTTTTTAAATGATTACACACTTTAATCTATTTTAAATTTTTTAATTTATTTATTTTTTAAAATTTTAATTAAATTAATTATTTATCTTAATTTTAATTTATAATTATTTATAATTATTTATAATATAGGATAATTATTTTCACTGATACATTCCTAATTATATACTAATTACACCATTTCTAAAATACCATATCTACTGCAGAGTAGCAGACACGGTATATGATATGTGAGACGGGAGGGAGTAATATTTTTTGGAAATATAAATTTTTGTTAAGAAAACAGCCTTATTCATTCGCTGGTTTCATTTAGGCTTATGTGTATATAGGAAACGGGCCGACTCTTTTCTGGGCCCAATTTTAAAAATTAGGCCATTTAAGGCCCAATAATATTAATATTGCTTCGAAAAAATCTGTGACTCACCAATGCGACAATAAAGGAGTGTCACCGGAGCTCTCTCCTCTTCCGGCTTCCGCCGTGTCTCTCTGTTTCGAGCTCTCCACCGTCGCAAGGTTCTCTAAATATTTAAATATGTGTATATATATGTTGTTTATGTGCTGATATGTTGTGCCTGTTGTTTCGTTCTCAGTAATAATCAATTGAACACGGACAAACGGCAGAGTCGGATTTTTAAATTTTGCATCTCCTTCTAAAATTTTCCACAAATTTCAGCAAATTGAATTGAAGAGGTAGAGAAGAAATGGTTGTGTTTTACAATTCGCTCAAGAATTTATGCATACTGCGAAATTCGCCTCCGCAGCTGTTCCGGTTGCAGAATGTTCGAACGCTGCTGCTGCAGTCTGCTTCCGAGTCCGTCAAGTTGCTGCAACACACCGATTCTGACGCCGGTAAGTGTGTCGATTTAGGATTTCGCGTTAGTGTTTTTTAATCTGAGAAATTCTGATTTTGATTTTGATTCATATTGGTGTTAGTTCAGTTACTGGAAAGTTGAATTTGAATACAAAGCCATATTACCGATTGTTTCTGCTGCTTACTGATTCACGTGCCCTAGCAACACTGTTTTCGGTATTGATTCGAGCTTTTTGTTGAAGTTGCGTGATACTTTCCTAGATTAGCTTTACTATTCTATTAGTTAAACAATACTTGGACGAACGGTATCAAATTATGGGGATCTGTTGCTTTGTATTGAGCTCGGAATTTAGACCTCTTCCATTTTTATTTTTTATTTTTGCTTCATCGTTTTATCAATTGAACTTGTAGGAATTTCAGAAGTCAAACTGGAAAGGCCTGAGACGAAAAATGCTATTGGAAATGACATGCTGAGGGGGTTACAGCATGCATTTGAAGCTGTTAATATGGATCATACATCAAAAGTTCTGTTGATCAGCAGCTCAGTTCCAAAAGTGTTCTGTGCAGGTGCTGATTTGAAGGTATTTTATGCAAATCTTCTGCTGGAAATGTTTACTGTATTTGAGTTTGTTCTTAAGATTCATATATATCATTTGATGTTGATTTATCTTTAATAAGAGTAAACTAGCTGCTTCCTAAATGTTTATGGAGTCGGCGTATAGATGTTACATTCAATTTTATCCTTTGTATAACAAAATCAGCTCGTAATTGAGATCAGTTCGTACACAAGATAGAATATGTTGTGTGACAGCCACTATGATAGGATGCTTCACTAGGTGTGCATTGAGTTCATTGCCTTCATCCTGACTTTGTATACTTCCTATAAGTAAGTAGCTTCTGATTGCATATGCCCTATGGTTTTATCCAATTTGTGTTTCCACGTAAATTGTTGTGTCCCTCGTATTTATGTTTCTAAATTTCTTTCCTTGCATCTTTTAATTGTTCGGCAGTTTCTTTTCTTGTTTGGTTTCTAGGAATTTGTTTTTGCTACCAACGGATCTTAACAATAATACTCAGGGAAGTTATTGGTGTTTTCTTCAAAAGGGAATTTTTAAGGCATTACATATTTCAAAGGGTAATGGGTACCCTTCTTATTCTATGATGCATTTTATTGAATTTTGTAGGAAAGGAAGGCAATGACTCCATCAGAAGTCCAGAATTATGTTCGCTCACTACGCTCCACATTTGCTTATCTGGAGGTTTAAACTTATCCTTCCATCTTGCGAAATTTTGCTGATAATATATTAAGTCAATCATTTGTCATTCATTTAGTAAGTAATAAAGTTATGTCTCTAGATACCTGTCTTTTACATCGAATATTTGCAAATAAAGCTAAAGACTAATGTAGATTAATTATTAGTATTTAAAAACATAAATAAATAAGCCCGGCCAACTTCTTATTAAAATTTTTATCTGTAATGAGACACCTGCTGGTCTTAAAAGTAGTAAGAACTAATTCACTCACTGCTCTATTTCCGCAAAGGCACAAAAATATTTCTTTTTTAGACTTTCCAACTGTGTGGCATTATGCTACACCCTTAGATTTTCTTGTTCTATTGCTTTTTTTATTTATTTGTTTGTAAATTCAATGTTCACGCATATTTTCTGTGAACTCCTTGTCCTTCCCGAGGCTTCCATTTTCACAACATGAACTTGAATGAAGAAGGTATAATCATTCAGGCACTTCATATCCCTACAATCGCTGTCATTGAAGGTGCTGCATTAGGTGGTGGACTTGAAATGGCACTATCTTGTGATCTACGAATATGTGGTCAGTGAAAGGTTTTACTTTCTCGGTTCTGTAATTTATTGCAGTGTTTCTAACTTGAAACTTTTGCAATAAACGACGGCAGGGGAAGATGCGGTGCTAGGATTGCCAGAAACTGGGCTTGCCATTATTCCGGGGTATTAAGTAGTTTCACATCAGTGCTTGTCCATATTAACAGCGACTGTCATTTTATGTCAGAATATGGCTTTTAACCTCTTATAACGTCTCCATGAATTTTTGTTATGTGCATTTGTTGTTAGTTATCGTTTATTTTGTGGTGGAACGACACCCTTGGCACCTACAGTCTAAAATACCCTATGTTTTTAATGGCTTTCTCAGGGCCGGAGGGACACAAAGGCTTCCAAGATTGGTTGGAAAATCTAGAGCAAAGGAACTTATATTTACCGGCAGGAGAATAGCGGGCAGGGATGCCTTGTCCTTGGGTAAGTCCGGTTAGAGCTTAAGTATTTGAGTTCCATTTTTAAATGCTAAGCTAGGGATGAATTGGTCGTGATTTTATTATCGTGTAGCTTGTGTAGTGATGCATACTGAAGTTAGATTACTCTGCAGGGCTCATCAATCACTGTGTACCAGGTAGTAAGGTCCGTGACAAAGCTCTTGAAGTTGCTCGGGATATAAATCAAAAGGTAAACAATTAACTGTGGATTATAAAAATTTGTTCTTTTAGTAGTTATATTTGTTGGGATTTTTCTTGTTAGTTATGGAGAATTGTGATTTTGTTTGAGGAAGTAATATTTATACTTTTTAAATATTTTTATGAGAAATAGTATATTTTTATTAAAGAAAATATAAGGGGAAAAAATTATTTCTTGTAGTGAAAGATTTGTCATTTTCTATTTCTGTCCGACTCAAAATAAAGTTGTCATTTTCTAATATAATAATTGTACTAGCTACCTAACATAATAAATACCCTTTCAACTTACAATATGCTATACAAATGTCATTACTTTTATATTCCACAATACTAATATGGGTATTTTTGTCTTTTTTTACGAAAATCCAATATAATACTAATATTAAAAAATCTACGTACAAAAGGTAGACAACAACCATTGAATGAGACGGAGGGAGTATATATATTGGGAATGATGTAAGGGTACAAAAAAATACCCTAACTACATGCTATATTATTCTCAAATCACTTTAGGTTTGTTTATGTTTTGGGAGTGTTACGGATTGTTTAGATGATAGTAAATATTTGAATAAAAAATATATATTTGATGTAATTTCGTAAATAAAAAATAGATATTCGATGTAATATCTTTTTAGGGAAAAAAGAAAAAAGAATAGTTTAATGTATAATGAATAGTCGGAAATGTAAAAACTGTTGCAAGTAAATGAAGCCTAATGATTCTTATCTTGGTCTTTTCAACTAACTATTCAGGTAGGAAATGTAGATTGCAAAATTTCACATGTAATGATACACTTAGATGTGAAATATATATGCAGATAGACAGATAGATCTATATCTACTTCCAACACAAATGTTTAGATCCATTTGTTGTTTTACTTATACAGGGACCATTGGCAATCCGAATGGCGAAAAAGGCGATTGACGGGGGAATGGAGGTTGATATGAGTTCGGGATTGAGTTTGGAGGAAGAGTGCTACGAGCAATTGCTGCACACGAAAGATCGGCTGGAAGGGTTGGCAGCGTTTGCGGAGAGACGAAAGCCTAATTATAGAGGTGAATGAGAGAGCATTTTAATGAAATTTGAAGATTACTTACTATGTATTTTATTTGGGAATTTCATTCTATGGGTGATTTTCTAAAAGGTTCCAATAAAGTATTCTATCAAATTCTACTATTAGAATTTCAGATCCACACCTTGCCGATTAGGGGTGTCAATTCGTATTTTTGGGTCGTGTTCGTGTCGGGTTGAGCCATGGGGATAACAAAAAAATTGTCGATCCGAACCCGAAATCTGACCTGAAACCCTAGACCCGAACACCGACACGAATTCTTTCAGGTCGGGTTCAGGTTGACCCCAATTAGTTTTAGGTCACCCGAAACCCGAACAAACCCGATACGAACCCGACACGAAATATTCCCGAAAATTTTTAAAGAAATAAATTGACCTAAAAAATATTATTTTTATTTTAAATTTTATATTATTTTAAATATAAATTAATATAAATATTATAAATTAAAATAATAATAATAATAAAGATTTCAGGTCAACCCGAAATTTAAAACTTAACCTGATTTTTATATTTCTAATTTACCAGGTCAACCCGAAACACGCCAAACACAACACAAATTTTTTTCGTTTTGGGTTCAAGTCGATCCGATCTTTTTCAAAACCGAACCTGAAAAATTTCATGTCGAACGAATTCGATTTTTCGGGTTGGGTTTACTTTTGACACCCCTATTGCCGATAGCAAATATTTAGCATATCCGGTAATTATAATCAATACTATTTATTATGTACAATTTTTAATAAAAATATGATATTTTTTTCATAAAATATTGTATTAAAATACTATTTAAACAAAAATTTTAATCAGCTCTATTTCAAATCAATTTTAAACTATAACTAAACAAACATTAATCACACGAAATAGCATATGACCCTAATTAAGTTGAAGAACTAAATTAATAAATGGGTTGAAACACACACCATATAAATTATAAGTAATCACACCCCTAAAGTACTAAATAGGATATCATTATTGTTTAAACACTATTATTTCAATTAAAGAAAACAATTAATTTGAATCAATAAATGAATACATGCCCAGATTCCAACTACATGAAAGATTTTAACTTTTGAAAATTTTTTAACACGATACAAAATCATATGATGTTATATTTTGTATGAGCAACAAGAACATCTGATATAATATTCTTTCCTAACAAAAATTATTATTAACGAACACTTTGAAAAATATCTTCTTTTTTAACCGTACCAATCTCAATATTTTCAAGGCATAACAGATGTACTGAGCAACTTTTTTCATAATTCTAACACTCAAAACAATTAAAAACTTGTATACTAAAGCAAGCATCTAACTTTGTGCAACTACGAAAATAAATTTACCTTAACGATATTTGCTCTGTTCATCTAAGGCATCACATAATGCTCAGGCAGTGAAGAACGTTCCCGGTGCCATTTAAAATCTCCACAGGACGTAAGAACAACAGAAAGTACATAATCGTCGACGTCGACGCCTTCAGCCCGCATCCGATACACAAGCTTTAAAGCCTCGTCGCAAAGCCCGTTTCGAGCATAAGCTACAATCATAGCTTTCCACGACACCAAATTCTTCTCCGGCATACTATCGAACACTCGAACAGCCTCCGGAAGATACCCACATTTCGAATACATATTAACCAAAGCACTGCCGACAAACACGTTCGACAATGCCGGGGTCTTATTTATCGACGAATGAATAAGTTTGCCCTGCTGAATATCCTCCAATTTCGCGCACGCTTTCAGCGCTGACGAATAAGTGAACGAGTTCGGCTCGACACCTTCGCCCAACATTTTTTTCAAGTATTCTAGCGCTTCGTATTCGTGGCCGACGCCAGAACAGCCGGAAATCATTGCGGTCCATGAAACTACGTCTTTATTCGACAGATTCCGGAGAACGTCGGACGCGGAAGTGTAGTCCCGACACTTGAAATAGAACCACACGAGCGCGCTCCCGATGAAAATATTGGTCGGTAAGTATTTCTTGACAATTTGAGCATGAACTTCCTTACCCGTCGATAAAGCGCGGAGTAAGCCGCAAGATCGAAGGATGCTGACCATGGTTAAGCTGTTTCCTGGCACTTTTAATCTTGTCATCACTACGAAGAGTGATATAGCTTCATCTCCCATTCCGTTTTGAGCATATCCCGATATTATAGAATTCCACGTGATAGCGTTACGCCTGTTCATACTGTCGAATATCGCCCTTGAGTCGTCGATTTTCGCGCACTTGGCATACATATCGACCAAAGAAGTCCCGATATATACGTCGACGACATAGCCCCTTTTAACGACGAGACTGTGTATTTGTTTCCCGAATCGTAGCTCCTTTTCCTCACCACAAGCATTCAATACACTGCAAAGAGTAAATTCATTCGGATCAAGTCCATTTAACAGCATTTCTGATAGAAGAACAAAAGCCTCCTGCCCGCGCAAATTTTGCGAGCAAGCTGTGATCATGGTTGTCCAGACAATCAAATCCCGGTTCTGAATTCGATCAAAGACTTCGAATGCAGAATCGAGATCGCAGCACCGAGCATAAAAATGCAAAACAGCACAATCAAGAATCAAATTACTCACTCGGGTCTTTATAATACGAGCATGTAGCTGTCTTCCGAGATCGAAATCATAAACTCGGCTGCACAAGTTCAGTATACAAACGTACGTCTGCGCATTACCTAAGAAACCTCTGTTGACAAACTCCATGAATAGACTCAAAGCTTCAGTCGCATCACCGTGTCTTTCATAGCCATTCAGCATTGCAGTCCAAGAAACGACATTTCTCTCCGACATATCATCAAACACGCCGCGAGCAACTTTCAAGTTTCCGAATTTTATGTACATACTAATCAAGTTATTGTTAACATAAACTCCTGGATCCTTTAAATACTTTAGAACAACAGTATGTACCTTCTTAACTTCCTCAATCTTAGAGCAGGACTGAAGCCAATGACCAGCTGTGCTACCATCAACATATTCCAGAAATGTCGAGGGAGATTGAGAATGGGCTTTGGAAGGCAAGTTTTCAGAGATAGGGAGTCTCAGACTGCAGATTTTTGTTTTTCCAGGGTACCTTTTGAGCTTTCGACATTTGGATGGTTGAGCATTGACATCGCAAGGTGTTTGTCGTTGATGTATATACAGTTGTGGAGAGAGATGACGTTGTGAAAACATAGAAAAGACTTGAGCACTTGATTTCCCAAGATTTTGATTAGTTGTTATGTTCTGTCCTATGGCAAAAGCAAATGAATTAGTTACATGCAGCAAGGTTAATCACCAGTAAAGAAAACAAGCAGTGAAAAACATCAATATGAAACTCCATATGTTTCACTTGTAATGGAACCTAAGGAAATGGGTGAAAAGCATAAGAGAAGCAAATTTTAAATATATACTCGAATTGGAGAAGCCTTGAAAAATATTTATTGAAAGAATTTAAACTGCAAGTTGCAGTAAGGGCTCAAATCCAGCGTAAACTCATAACTCGAACGAAAAAGCTTCACCTAGACAATAGCAAGAATTGTAAGTTATCTTTTGATATATCTTGAAAACGCCCTTGGTTGTTTTTGAAAATAGAAAGGAAATATTGAGATTTGAAGCTATTTCGGGAAATTCGAAGACAATGTTAGTTTTACAATTTACATGTCTGTCACTACTCATTGGCCATAACATAACCTTCTTCTCTTCGGATACTTACCAATTTCAACACTTTGACCCGTATCTAAAACATGCAACGATCTTTAAAAGATGTAATTTACCAAAATTTATTGCATTAATATGATTCTCATCATATTAATACCTTAACCTCAAGTCGTTGCATATACTATGATTTTCAAATATGATGCCTCCTTCAGTAAATAGAACACTTGTACTTTATCAAAACAATGCAAATGTTCCATCAAGAAATATTGTTCCAGATCTTATTGCATTTTATACATCTCATATATTAAATAATGTCATTACTCATCTCTTTTATATCCTCCCTTAAGAACACTTGTGCCCTTATCTAATATAGGCTTCCCAAAAGTTAAAGCAACTTATATATCTCTTTTATGCATTAATGCCTTTCGTGGTAACATTTTCTATTTTATATTATGACATGAGAACCCAGTCACTGTTATATATATACTCTGATCTAGCTAAAATTCCTAAAATACTCACTAACCACCATTTCCAACAAATTAAAACTTTTGATAATCATCATTAAATTGTAAATTAATTTGTTACGTACGAAATTTAGAATTAGGTTAAAAGCCCAAGGTAAAAAGAAGAATGGGCCTGGCAATAAAGTTGATTGAACTGGCTAAAGGACACCGTGAGGAAATCAAGGAAAATAGGTTTATTTCTAAGGAAAGTCCTCAGGACGGAAGGACCTCAGGTCGGTAGGTCCTCAAGACGGAAAGTCATCAGGACGGAAGGACCTCAAGTCGGTAGGTCCTCAAGACGGAAAGACCTCAAGTCGGAAGGTTTTCAGGTCGGGAGGTCCTCAAGACAGAAAGTCATCAGGACGGAAGGACCTCAGGTCGGTAGGTCCTCAAGACGGAAAGACCTCAAGTCGGAAGGTTTTCAGGTCGGGAGGTCCTCAAGACAGAAAGTCATCAGGATGGAAGGACCTCAGGTCGGTAGGTCCTCAAGACGGAAAGACCTCAAGTCGGAAGGTTTTCAGGTCGGGAGGTCCTCAAGACAGAAAATCATCAGGACGGAAGGTTTTCAGGTCGGGAGGTCCTCAAGACAGAAAGTCATCAGGACGGAAGGACTTCAGGTCGGTAGGTCCTCAAGACGGAAAGACCTCAAGTCGGAAGGTTTTCAGGTCGGGAGGTCCTCAAGACAGAAAGTCATCAGGACGGAAGGACCTCAGGTCGGTAGGTCCTCAAGACGGAAAGACCTCAAGTCGGAAGGGTTTCAGGTCGGGAGGTCCTCAAGTCGGAAAGTCATCAGGATGGAAGGACCTCAGGTCGGTAGGTCCTCAAGACGGAAAGTCATCAGGACGGGAAGTCCGCAGGTCGGGAGGCCCTCAGGACGGGAAGTCCGCAGGTCGGGTGGCCTTCAGGACGGGAAGTCCGCAAGTCGGGAGGTCCTCAGGTTGGGAAGTTCTCAGGTCGGAATTCTGCGGCAGAACCAACAAATCGGGTGGTTTGTTAGTCGGGATGTCTGTAGCTAATCCAAACAAGTCGGATGGTTTGCAAGTCGGGAGGATTGGCGGTCGGACCCATACTATTGTAGTTTGGCAGTCGGGCCTAAAGGGCGGAAGGTCTGTGGTTGGCTCAAAGAGTGAAATATAGGGATAATTTCGGTTTGCTGAGGACACGTGTCAGCAGGAGAAGGGTTGGAAGACGGTTGGGAAGGAGACGTTGTAACCGTTCGGGTGACGGTTTTCAGTACAGTTTCCCAGAGAATATTTAAGGATTTGGATCATCATTTGGCAAGGCATCTTCAATCAACTTCAACAAAGCAAAGTCAGATTTGGGGATCACCACTTTAAATTTCAGTCTTTTATTTTCCAGTTTATTTTCTGTACCATACAGTGTTTAGAGATTCCTAATCTCAGACACTAATTAATCAAGTTTAAGGATATTTTCTATATCTTTGAATTTTACTTTATTTTTGTTGAAAAATTACATCAACAAATTGGCGACCACAGTGGGAGAAAATTGCTGATCCATATGGCAAATTTTCAATTCCACAGTACAGCCGTTGGCTTTATCACGGCAGAAGAAGCTTCCCAACTACGGGCCGAATTGACAGCAGGTTTTCGGCAAATGTACGACCAGCAGATAGCAAATCTGCAGGCAATACATGACGCAATGCAAAACTTGATGGAGCAATCAAAATTCATGTTGAATTCGGTTCCTGCACCGCCAGAAATGTCATGCCCCCAAACGGACAACGCCATTCCTGAGCATATACCCAGTCAGACAGACTGGAGACAGGACCAAACAGGAGGACAGGCCCGACCAGGGACGACCGAATGGACGGAGACAGGTCGGCAGGATCACGACGCCTGGACAGACCATGGTCGGGAAGACCACACCGACTGGACGGACCATGGTCGGGAGGACCACACCGAATGGACGGACCGTAGTCGGGACAACCACACCGACTGGATGGACAAAGGTCGGGAGGACCACGCCGACTGGACGGACAAAAATCGGGAGGACTACGTAACCTGGACGGATACAGGTCAGGAGGACCCCGCCGAATGGACGGATACAGGTCAGGAGGACCCCGCCGAATGGACGGATACAGGTCAGGAGGACCCCGCCGAATGGACGGATACAGGTCAGGTCGCCGACCATAACTTTTCAGGCGAGCAAAAGAATGACAGAACAACAGTGGCCGAAAGGAGGAATAAGTCGGACGGGAGTCTGAATACAATGGTAGTGCAAGATCGACCAACGTCCAGGCCAGCACCAGTCCGCGATAAATGGAGGTCGGGTCCAACGTAGCCTCAAAGGATGGAAGTCGGATCTGAGGCTGACGTAGCCTCGGATGCTAACCTACTAACTCCTAAAACATCATAAGAAATGATGCTTAGGAGTCTTGAGGAGGAGGCATGTTGTTACGCACAAAAAATAATAATAATAATAATAATAATAAGGTATCCAGAGTCAGTCGGTTGGTTCTCAATCAGATAAGCAAGTCAGATGGTCCGCGGTCGGGCAAGCAGGTCGGATTATCCGCAGTCGGATAAATGGGTCGGTTGATACAAAGGTTGGCTGCTATGGGGGTCGGTCGAAAAAGGAAGTCGGGCGAAGAAATGTCTGTTGATAGGTCAGACGATTGAAGAGACCAAATAGTGGTCGTTTGATGGGGCGACCAGTGAGTCTTTTGATCTGGCGACCAATTATGTATCTAGATTGGTCGGTTGGTCGGTCGTTGGGTTATGCGGTTGGCGAGGCGGTTAAAGACATGTGTCAATGAAAGAGGCAGTTCTGAGTTCTGTAACTGGTGGGAACGGTTGGTGAAACAGTGCGACGGTTCTATTTGGATCATCATTTGGCAAGGCATCTTCAATCAACTTCAACAAAGCAAAGTCAGATTTGGGGATCACCACTTTAAATTTCAGTCTTTTATTTTCCAGTTTATTTTCTGTACCATATAGTGTTTAGAGATTCCTAATCTCAGCACTAATTAATCAAGTTTAAGGATATTTTCTATATCTTTGAATTTTACTTTATTTTTGTTGAAAAATTACATCAACATAATTAATTAATCGTTTTGGTTTCTTCCATGACTTGCTGAGTTAGATAATCGTACACTCAGTTTCCAGAGGCGAATCGAACTTCAACCACAGTAGAAATATACTGATTGACTCTATGTGAAACACTACACAGGAAGAAAAAAAAAAAAAAAAAACACACAGGATGATCAAATGATTTACAGCAGAATCCAGTATCTCACACACTCAATCATAAATAATTTATGCATACCTTTCACTTATACTAGCACATACATGTATGACTTTAAAACACAAACTAGAACTTAACGGCCACAAAATATCTGCACATAAACATACATATACATACACATATTTAAATATGTAGTGAACCTTGCAATGGTGTATAGAGCTTGAAACAGCGCAAATCAGCAGTAGCTTTCAGAGTGCGAGAGACACGTCGGAAGTGTACAGAGCTCCGGTGACCTCCTAGAGAGTGCGAGAGAGAGACACGGCGGAAGAGGACTGAGCCCCGGCGACAATGCTTAATTATCGCCTTAGCGTTAGCGAGTCAGATATTTTTTGATTTTGTAGCAATATTAATGGGCCTTAAATGGGCTGGTCCGACTAAATTTGGGCCAAAAAAGAGTCACCGCGCCACGTTCATGAATGAATCACACACAAATACGGCACACCGATTTTAATATTTTTATTTATAGATGATTTTTTCTATTTTATTCATGAAAACACAATTTATAAATTTATCTAAAATAAAAATTAAGTTATAAAATTATTAAAATAATAAATTTTAAAAACAATACAAAAAAAAATAATCATAACAAATAGGATTTGTTTGTTTTTATTTAAGATATAAATTTATAATTATTTAACTTGTCCGTTTCAAATAAAATTCATTATTATTTATTTTTACAGAATATTATATAAAAATGAATTTAAAGTAAATTTTAAATCAAATTTTAAATTAAAATTAAAATCAAACACATCTTAAAGATATTTTAATTTAATAAATGTGTTTTAAATGAAATAGTGACTCTATTTAGTTGTGACAAATGAAATGTAATTGATATTTTTGTCATTTCACAAGTATAGGTAACTTTGTAATTTAAATAAAAAAATAAATTAAAAGAGTATTATTTTAATATAGATATATGATTTTTTATTTTTTATTTTTCATTTCGTTGACAATATTGACTTTGTTTTTAAAAGGGGCGAATATGGACATTAATTAGGGGATCAATGCCTTATATTCATTTCGTTGACATTATTGACTCTATTATTAAAAGGGGCAATATGGACATTAATTAGGGGATCAATGCATAATAAGAGTAATTATAAGGTACTAATTTGCAAAAATATGCACAGCACAGGAAAGGCTTCCCGCTTCTCAGTCCGGTCTCCGATTTTTCCGTTTTCCTGTCAACATTCACAAGGGTCGTCGTCCTTTTCCATTTTCCTCATATTTATGGACTGAATCCGTCCTAGCACTTTTCCTCACTCGTGATTTCGTCTTCGTGCGCGCTCACAACGTCCGCTACAACCCAAGGTAAGCTGTTCTTGCGCGAATTACTGCTCGGTTCGCCCGTGGCAGATCTGTATGTCATGTCCCTTTCGCTTTTTCATTAATTTTTTTTTCTTCTTTTTTTTTCTGGTTGATTGTGTGATGTTTTGTGAGGAGAGAATCCATTTCCGGTTCTGCTTTCTCTTGGTACATCGTTTTCTGGAACGAGTTCGTCGCTGTTAGTGTCTTGTGTATGATTAGTCCGTGCAGTTTTGTTGGAAACTGGTGAATGAGTTCAATTTTAATTAGCAATAGTTGAATGAGTTTTTATAGTACCTGGAATCAGAAGATTATTAAGGATTTTGATTTAATTTTGCCTTGGGGGTGGGGAGAGGGTGATGGGAGTAGGTATGCTTCCAACAATTCCTTGCTGTCGGTGTATGGTTTTTGCTTGAGTAATCCTTTCGTGCTTTCACCCTGTTTAAACGCTCATTCTGCACTCACTCTGCATTGCTGATTAGGGTTTCGGGTTTTGTAAAACTGTTTGGTGTTTTTGAGTATTTCTGCTTGATGGTTCAATACTTTTACTTGAATACCACTTGGGGAGAACGTTGTTGAGGAAGGATGTTATTTGGTAATGGAATTATCTGAAAAACAAGGCAAATGTGTTACAATCATATTGTTCGATTTTATTGTGTGGAGTTTATGTATATTTATAGATTCACAACCAAATTTAAGTAGAAGAAATTTTTTTATAAATAGTTTGAACACTAGAGCCCTGACTCACAGCAATTATAGCATTGCTTAATGATAAAGCCTTAATCTTGGAAGTTTTAGATGATACATTTGTCATTGGACTGTTCGATGAGTACAAATTTTGTTTGTATAGTTCCTAGAAATAAACTTGTGCACTGGCAGACGGGAGTAGAATAAATATCAACTGTAGACAACAGATCTGATGACTTTGAGTACACACTCAGTTTGTTGTATGTTGAATGTTCTTATCATTCTTTGTTTTCTTATTTTCGAAATTACACTATATTCTGACAGTTTTGAACAGTTCTATATGTATGGACTATAGTTATTGCTATCCTTCTTACACTTTTGCTCAAAGCTTGGGATATGTTTCATACTTCAGTTTCGACATATAAGTGTGTTTTTTCTGTTTCTGTGATCTTAAAAGTTGCCCTAAACATGTTTTAGAAAATAAGTCTCTCGCTTCATGGAGAAAAAATCCTCAGAGAAGAAAGATGAGGTGACAAATCCAAACACCTGTATTGAACCTCATGACTCAGATGAAGCAAGTATTCCTGAGGAAGCAAAAATCGATTCTGATTTAGGTGGAGTGGATACATCTGAGGCACAAAATGATGGGAATGAAATAGAGAAGCAAACTGAGGAGAAGAAAATGGATACAAAAGAAGAAAGTGATGAAACAGTGGTTGAAAAAGGATCTAATAACTTGAAGGGAGAGGTCGGTAATGTAGATTTAGGGGTAACTGACAAGAATTTGGAGGAAGCTTCCTATGAAGCGGAAGAACCTGTTTTCGATGGGACTGAAGTAGAAGTGCAGGGCTCTGCTTGGCCTGAGAAGGCAGTGGCTCTTTCAAAATATGTAAAGCAGAAAAGTTTCGGTGCAGTATCCACCGTTCTGCGTCGACTTTCTGGAAAAAGTGATGATGGTCAAGATATTGCTGATGAAGATTTTGAATCATCTTCGGAAAATGCAGGCAAAGAGCACTCCCCAAAACCTGCAGAGAGATCTGGATGGAATCCACTTAGCCTCATTCGCATATCACAGGATTCTGGCGGACAAACTAAGCCTGAGAACTACTTCATGGAAGGTTTATCTCAACCTATTGCAATGACAACCTATTGCAATGAAGGGGCAAATCATTTTGTATACGAAGTTAGGTTGCCAGGACTGTAAAGATGCACGCATGTATCTGCGAAAAAAAGGGCTCGGATATGTTGAGATCAATACTGATGTCTACCCAATGAGAAAGCTAGAGCTGGAAAAGATTGCAGGATCTTCTGCAGTACCTAGGGTTTTTTTTAATGAAGTCCTGATTGGAGGATTGAATGAACTGAAGACATTAGAGGAATCTGGAAAACTTGGAGATAAGATTGATTTTGTTATCAATGAAACAGCATCATACGAAGCACCTCTACCACCCCTTCCCGGTGAAGATGATTTGTCAAATAGTGGAGCTGTTGATGAGCTGGCTGCTATTGTTCGGAAAATGAAAGAGACAATATCTGTGAAAGATCGATTTTACAAACTGCGGCGGTTTGTCAACTGTTTTTTAGGTTCAGAAGCTGTAGATTTCTTGTCAGAAGATCAGTACTTGGAGAGGGAAGATGTAAGTTCTTATTTTTTACATTCTTGGGAAACATTTTGTTAATTTTTTCTTATGCTTTTCATTCAACACCGAAGAAATGCAAAGATTTAATCAAAAGACTTGTTAAATTAGATTATGGATTAGACAATCACATTCAAGTTCCACCGTCGCCACCCTTGTCTTATAAATAGGAACTTTGAATGCCTGTTTTATGCTGTGTTGTTCGATGAACTTAACCAACCATTAGTCATATTATAAACAAAGGGGAGAAAAGCTGTAGAAGGAAATTTATTTTTCTATTTAGCAGTTGTGTAGTTAATGATTTTATAAACCTGTCTTCTTGTATCTATTCTGACTGGTTTCAATGGCTTGAAATAGGCTGTCGAGTTTGGCAGAAAGCTTGCTGAAAATTTCTTCTTCAAAAATGTCGTCCAGTAAGTGTTCCTATTTTTTTTGTCTATTTACTATTTGCTTTATAATTTTTTTTTTATCAGTATTAGGATTTATTACCTTGCTAGAATAGTGGTTTATGTTGTTACTGTTCCTAATATTTTATTGTAAATCTGTCCTTTTGTCACTACTAGGGAGAATGTATTTGAAGATGGACACCACTTATATCGTTTCTTGGACGATGATCCTTTGATCTCTCGATGTCAAAACATCCCAAAGGGCATTAGTGAAGTGAAACCAAAATCTATTACAGAAATTTCCTCAAGGCTTAGAATTTTGTCTCAGGCAATGATAGAAGCTTATACTTTGGAAGATGGAAGGAGAGTCGATTACAAAAGCATCCAAGGGAGTGAAGAGTTTGCAAGGTATGTTTAAATATCTCAGTTCTGCTGTGGGGGGAAAGGAGAGCCCTTAGGTAAAGATGTTTTGGTTTGAGAGGTATATGTGTGTGTGTATGGGGGGGGGTGGGGGGGGGGGGGGGTTGCACACACAATCAGAGAGAGAGAGAGAGAGCCAGAGAGTGATGGGGCAGGCAGTATTATTTTATTGTTCTTCTGGAATCAACTGCTGAATTTGATTTGTAGGTACTTGAGGATAGTTGAGGAACTTCAGCGCGTAGATCTACATGAAATGTCTCGAGAGGAAAAACTATCCTTTTTCATTAATCTTTACAATATGATGGCCATTCATGCAATATTGGTGTGGGGTCACCCTTCCGGAGCACTAGAGAGGAGAAATCTTTTGGGAGACTTCAAATATGTTATCGGTGGATCCGCATATTCCCTCTCAGCCATCTATAACGGCATTTTGAGGGGGAATCAGAGACCACCATACAATCTCGTCAAGCCATTTGGTGCAAAAGATGAGCGTTTAAAGGTTAGATAACTTTCAAACAGGGAATGCTTTTAAGGTTTAATATATTCTCTAGCTTCATGTTGAAACTGGTTCGGTGAGTATGTTACTAGGAAATATATGTTTGATTTATTTAAGTGTTTGTGTTGGATGATTAATATTCTCCAGATTCATAAATTTGATAGCGAAAGTAAAATTTATATATATTGCAGTATGCTATTGATATGGAGCTTTAATATAGTTGACCTGTGATGGAAATTCCAGATGCAATTTTTTCTCTATGACGAAATGCATTATGAGAATATGACGTGTGATTTTTACATCAAAGTACTGAATGTTTAGATACCATTTTATTTGGCTAGTTTTAGATTGGTTTACAATGCTGAAATGCACATTGATATGATCATGAAGTTGTTGAGCATGAATAATGTATCTGCATCATACACGCACAGGTTGCGCTTCCGTATCCGGAGCCTCTTGTTCATTTTGCACTGGTTTGTGGTACCCAATCTGGACCTGCCCTTCGATGCTACTCACCTGGTAACATAGACAAAGAGTTAGCAGATGCTGCTCGTAATTTTCTGAGAATTGGAGGACTTTGTGTCGATCTTGTTACCAATGTTGCGTACGTCAGTAAAATATTGAAATGGTAAGATTTTCATGCATTATCATTGTTGGTTATTCACCTATTCATAATAATCTTATTTAAATAAATCTCTAGCTGTTAAGGATATGCAACAGTTTAATACAAAGTTGTTTTAGTTGAGTCGGCGCCGTCCAATATCATGACACATTAGTTTAACAATAATATTGCATTAAAGTTTAAGTTACTAGGGAAGTATATAAAAATTCTATATTTAATTGATTTAAGTGCTCCAATTCATATTATTGTTGATTTCAAGAGTTTCTTTTTTGTAAAAAGGGTGACATATTGTTAATAAATATTCAATCTTGACTTCTTTTTTCTTTTTTACATTGGGAGTATATCTACAATAGAATGTGTGAATTTGAAGAAGAGTGTTTGTTATATGCTCTTTTAGTATCGATAAACCTGAAATTGGATAAAAGTAAAAATGTTATTAATTTTGCTTTTATGCTGAAAATGTCGATGAATTAATTACAACCAAACATGTAAAGCTCAGTTACTACTTCTCACACATGTTTCTCCATTACGAAAATTTTTCGTCTATGGTGCTATCAAAACAAGAAATATTTGTGCCCATGCACGGACATTGTCGTTATATCTAGAAGGAAATTACTAGTTTTCGGAAATCATAGTGGATGATTTGCTGTGATAGGTACAGTGTAGATTTTGGGAAGAACGAGATAGAGGTGCTGAGGCACGCGGCAAACTACCTGGATGCGGCCGAGTCGCAGCCCTTGCTGGAACTGCTTTCCAATACTCAGCTGAAGGTAATTTACCTGCCTTATGATTGGGGATTGAATCAATAGCACGCACATGCACATGCACATGCACACACACATATATATATATATATATGGTCAGTTGTGCGAGTACTTGTTTTATAACTGAAGAAATCTGTGAATATCTTACATAGTTACATATGATGAAGCTGCTAAGTCATATGTGTTGATAGTAGGGGGTGGGGTGGGGGGTGGTTGGGGGGAGAGGACTTGTCTATATATACTGTGAATTGATTTGTTTGGTATTCTTTGTTGAATTGTATGAGTTGGTTTGTTAAATGGGATTTTCTATGTATGTCAAATGACATATTCTGTCCGTCCGTACAAGGGTCACATTTACGTTTTTCGTTGTTGTACTTAGCATTCAAAATATCTTTATGTTTGTATACTTTTTTTTACAAATATTTTTCTATTAGTATTATAAGACACTAATGAAAGTATTTTTGAAAGTTTTCTTAATTTGTACTACGTTTTGGTATAATAATTATTATTCAAATATCAATATGCAAAAAATAAATAAGATCTTTAGAGCCGGACGGAGGTAGTACTATTTAGGCAAAATTGTCTATAACTCCCTTGTACTTTCGAAACTCAGTGTAAATTTTCCCTCTACTTTAAAAATTGCATGGTAACCCTTATACTTTAAAAAACGTTACATGAAACCCCACCACCATGAAACTTTCTTCATGTGATAAGAAGATGATTTCCTATCTATATGTTTTTTGCATGGCGGAGGGGTTTTATGCAATATTTTTGAAAGTATAAATGAGCTGCAATTTTTTAAAGTAAAATGAGAATTTATGATGAGTTTTTTGTGGTTTCATGCAATATTTTTTAAAACATAAGGAGGTACCATGCAATTTTTAAAGTAGAGGGGGAATTTATGCTGAGTTTCGAAATCACAAGGGAATTATGAGCAATTTTGTCTACTATTTATTATCTATATATACATGCAAAAGCTTAGGGTATGTTTCTTTTTCAAAATTTGGGTTTGAGTTTGATATTAAAATAACTTATGATAATATATTTTGTGTTTCATAACTAACAATAAAAAGTGTATAAAAATTTAGTTTTGTATCAAAAAAAATAAACCCTTGATCTTGATCTAGGGTTCTGGAGAGATCCGATTCGAATAGATATTATTAGATCCGAGATTCAAACCAGACAACACTATGTCATATTAATGGGATGATGGAAGTGGGAGTGCGTAAAAGACCATAATACCCCTGTCTGTCCCCACAATTATTATCCTGCCAAATGCATGTGGTTTAGGTGCCCACCAAATCTGTATTGAGTATTCGAGTATAGTATATAGTCGGTCAATTGTGGCCCAGACCAACTTCAATAAGCATTATGCCAAAATTGCTTCATGGGTTGGTTTATATTTATATATATATATCCTTTCTATTTGATATATTTACTTTTTAAAATTACATATTAATTTTTTAATTATCAAAACTGACAAAAAAAGCAAATTAATTAATTTATGCATACGATAAATTTGTCATTTGTTGCATATAGTATTAATTATATAAGTATTATGTAGATATGCAATTAATCATTCGAATATATTATCTAGTATATATCAAAATGGGTTAGTGGAACGGATTTGATCGGATTGGTCCACAATCCACCATAATCCACAAATAAGCGGATTGTTTGCGGGCCAACTCGCAACGGGGCGGATCAAAATTTTATCAGCTCAGCCCACTGGCGGGTGGCGAGCTAAGCGGGCTAGCCCACGAGCCTTTTAAAAATATTAAAATAATAGTATTAATATTATAAATATTTTTGTAATTAATATTTAAAAATAGCTAAAAATAATTTTATTGTAGAATTTAAATAATAAATATTTTAAAATAAATAACAAATATAAAAATTCTCAATTCTAAATATTATTAGTTGGTGTATTTAAAAAAATATAATAAGAAGAAATACTTTATTTTTAAAATAAATCATAATTAATTTTATGAATTTGTAAAATTATAAAATGGAAGACGAACAAAACAAATGATGAAAAATCGAAACAAACAACAGTGACATGGATAACAAAATAAAAACAATCGTGTAAAAAATATTGATAATTTATTTAAGCTAATGATAATATAAATTTTATTTTATTCGTCTTAACTTAAAATATTTCTTTTTAGTAGATTAAAAATAATCATATGTTATTTATTAAATAAAGTGTACAAGATGATTTTGATATTTTTTACTTTTGTACATTATTTATAAATTAATGGTATATTTGTAATTTATATAAAATTAAAATATATTCTAATATTAATATTTTATTAGTTTTATTATAATTTTTTAATGTGACAAGTAAAAATTGACTATTAATTATTATATTTAATTGGTCCGCGGGCTAATCCACCCTCAACCCGCAGTCCATGCGGGTTGGCCCATTTAGGCCCGCATTTTAACAGGTTTAAAAAATCACAATTCAACCTCCTTAAGAATAAGGCGGGGCGGGCCAACCCGACGAGCTCAACCCATTTTGACGGCTCTAGTGCCACATAAATATTGTGTTAGTAAATTAGTTTGTTTGCATAGATAATCTTTTTTAAATTTAGTACTCCCTCCGTCGTACATACCATGTTTATGTTGTCGTTTCTGTCCGTCCCACATTTTATGTTACTTTCATTTTTTGGAAAATAATTACACACTTTAATCTCATTTTAAACTTTTTTAATTTATTTTTTAAAATTTTAATTAAACTAATTAGTTATCTTAATCTTAATTTATAATTATTTATATTATATGATAATTATTTTTACTAATACATTCTTAATTATTTACTAGTTACACCCCTTCTAAAATACCGTGTGATCATTCAAAAAAATTTCAGTGAAGTCATTTTTATTATTTTTTAGGTCAACTCAACGCTGATATTATCAGCTTTGGGCGTAGTTCCTAAGCATTTGTTTTTTAATTTTTTTTAAAAAGCCTCGTACTAATAGAGTTTACGTGGGATTTATAAAGTGTGAATTTTTCCTCACATCTTTCAATGTGGGACTTGGTTTGCATCCCAACAATTAAAAATATATTGATAATATAAAATAAAATAAAATAAAATATTTTATATTTTATTATTGTATTTTTGTACCTTTGCTAAAGCATCTGTCACCGTCAGTGTCTTTGTTGCATTATTTTGTTTATCTTTTTCTTTCATATCATATTCACATCAACATTCAAATTACTTATTTAACACTCGCATCGTCACTTTTACCTATTATCTTCTACAATTTTATAAAATTCATCATAATTTTTTATTTTTATATATTTTTATTATCTAATAATATATAAATAATACTAGTATTTATTAAGTATAATATTTTATCTTTATTAATTTATATAAACTATAATAATATTATATAGATTTTTATTTTATGAAACATTAAAATTATTCGAATTTATAAAATTATAGACATTTAAAAATTTGAATGATTAAAATAAATTCGAATTAATATATTGTCGGAATAATATATCGTTTTCGATAGTTTTGTTAAAGAACTAGTTGAAAAGAGATTGAATATATATCTCTTTTTTTAAAAAAATTATCTTAAAATTTGATATATAAAAAATATTATTAAAAAATATATAGATGAGTCGTGATCTTTTGAAATAAATTTGAATTTGTATTTATATAAATAAATTAGTGATAAATTCAAAAATTTAAATTTTTAAATTTTAAATTACAATTAATTAAAAAATTATTTATTTATTATTTTTATAAATGTAATGAATTATTAATAAAGGTAATAAAAAAATATTATCTGTATTTTTCAACATATATAACTTAGACCTTGTTATAATAAAAATTAAAAAGATAACGTGAGAAGTAATAGAAAATGTAATTGATTAGTAAAAAGAGTATGCATATGTTATATTTTTATAATATTGATTAGAAAGTATGTAAAAAAAAAAAAATTGTCAAATGACCACACTTTTTAATATTTTGAATTGTTTCAAGAATAATAAATTATTGAATAATATATTAGCACATGATATAATTATAATATTTTAAATAAACAATTATTTGTATATAATGTTTAAAAATAAAATAAAATATTAAAATTTATAAATTTTATTTTTTAGTAAAAGATACATATATAAAATAAAAATATATAAGTAAATGGAGCTTTATATAAAGGAACTCATCATTGATGTAGTTCCATAATTAAGGACAACATTGATGTAATTTGGAAATGATAACTTATAATGGCTTTGTTCTTTTCAATATATTTTTTTTTTTCAAAAAAATTAATACAGTACGCATATATTTATTATTTTTATATTATTGGCAATTTTTATATTTTACAATATATATATATTCAACAATCTTACAAAATAAATACGATCTTATATTAGAATTGCATATATGAGATTATATTCATTTTTAAAAATTGTCCAAATATTATATTTTTAGTGTTTACAAAATCTTACAATATTTTATTGTTAGTTATTAAAAAGTATAAAAATATAATTTACTAAATTTTAAATTATTTTATGAGTTGAATAATATATGTTTTTACTAAAATCAATAATTATTTAATCTTTTGTGTTGTTACACATTCAAGATCAATATGTCATATATATATATATATACAAGAAACACACGGATTAAACTAAAAGAACTTAAAGAATCTTTTATTAAACGAAAGCAAATGCTCGGACTCAATTTACCCAATCTAATATCGATCCCAACACCTACTGTAATGCACAATAACAACCCAAACACAACCGAAATCCACGGAAATGCAACAAACATGCGAACCAGACCATGATCTAACGAAAACATCAACGATTTAAGTCTAACCCTTCGCAACAGACAATCTAATCAATACAATGTAAAGGAATGCTCAAAATCGTAAATCGAACCAAGGAACAACCTCAGCACAGGCTGCTTATCAAGGAACTCAGTCGAACCAGTCAAATCGCCGGACAGATCGTCGGAGAAGACTCAAGGAAGATCGCAGGAAACCGTCGTCGCGATTAGAGCTTCTAGAGAGAAGATTTGAGAATCGAGGAGAGAAAAAACGCAAGAGTGAGTGAGTGAGTGGGTCTGTGTATCTTTCAAACCGGGCCCCCCTGCCCCTTTATATATAAGCCACTTAACCGGACCGGGTTTGGTTCAGCTGTAGACTGTCGGTTTCATCGAAGACCGAATCTAGTTCGGGTTACAGGATCAGGGTTTCGGGTTGTGCGGGTTTGTGCATTCCCAGCTTTACTAACTCCACATTTTGTTTATATTTTCAATAGATATTTCTAATTTACATTTTAAAATAAAATAATTAGCAATTTCATCTTATTACCCTATTATAAGATTTTGAAGTTCTCTATTTCGGCACCATAACATGTTATTCATTTTAAATCTATTTAATAAATACAAATTAATTTAACATGTTATTCATTTATATTTTTAATAAATTTATTCATTTTAAACATATTTAATAAATACAAATTAATTTAATAAAATTTCTATTATCGTACACGTATGATCATTCAAAATTCTATTTATTTTTCTTTATCCTCAATAAATAAATTTTTTTATTTATATTTAAATTTTTTTATTTTTCATAAAATTAATTCATGTTAATTATAAATAAATAATTTTTTTTATATATATCGTATTATATAAATTTTATTATAAAAAATTATATTCATTGTATATATTTTATTGAAATATGATGTTAAAAATATTTAAATATATATTTTAATTTTTTTTAATTATATATATATTAATTTATATTTTTAAAATATGAATAATATTAGTTAAAAATAATAAAATAATATCATAACTATGTCTCTAGTCAAAAAGATTATCTTCAACATTTAAGGGGTACTATTTTTAATAAAAATATTAAATTAAATTATACTAATCTAAGAAAATAATAAACACTAGACAAACAACTTATTTACTCAATAATTTTTTGACCGGTCAAATATTTAAAAACTGTTAAATAAACTCAAAAATTGTTCAAAAAGTTAATTACCAAACATACTCGTAATATTGTAGAAATTTTTTATGTGAGGTATAGGAAATCGTGTAGGGAATATAAAAATAATGAATGTGTACAGTGTATTAATATTTTTTTGATATTTAATAATGTATAATGAGATATTTTGTCAGAAAAAAATATATATTTTTTCGAAAAACTTAGAGTCCAAATAATAGAAACACAAAGTTTTGAGTGTAAAGAACCTTGAATTATTAGGGCTCCATTTAGACAGAGGTTTTTGGAGAGTTTTGGAATTTTGAAAGTTTGAAAAAATAAAAAAGTTAGTATTTAATTTGATGTTTTTTAAAAAATATATATATATTTGATGTGATATTTTTTTGAAAAATGAATAATGTCAAATTGAGTGAAAAATTGTTAAATAAACAAAGTCTAGATTTTGTAAAATAATAAAATACTTCCCCTGTCCCGATTGCAAGATTGTCACGTATATTTTTTAATAGTAGTATTATAATGAGTTGTAGTAAAAAAGACGAAAATATTCATAATAAAAAAGTAATGACATTTATGTAATATAGTGTATAAATTAAAGAGTATTATACAATTACTAAGTTAGAAAATAATAACTTGCGACGAACAAAATTAAAAAATAATAAGTACAAATATTATATATATTAAAAATACGAAAAAAAAAAATTTGGTTTTTAAATTCTGCCAAACTGTCCCCAACCAAATTATTACTAAACACACTACTACACTACACTACGCTGCCACCAAAAAAATCTCAAAAAACACCAAACGCACAAAAAATTCCACACTTCCCATCGCAGACTTTTGTCGCATCACCAAATTTCCCTCCTTTCAATACGCAAAACCAAAACCTCCCCTTCTTCATCAAACTCCCATTCCCAATCCCATTTGATCCTCCAAATTCCCTGTTCTGCTGCTGCATTTTTCGAATTCTCTCTTCAAATTTTCGCCCACCGCCATTTTCACACTGTTGGGGACACTTGCAACCTCCCTTCACTCCCAAGATTTCTTTCTTCCTATGTTTTTTCGTCACCTCTCATTTTTACTTGCGTTTCAAGCTGCCCCACCTCAGATCCATAATTAGGTACTAAGACAACCCAACTTTTTACTAGGGTTGCTGATTTCTTTAATTCTATTGTGGATGTTGATTTGTGCGCTGGTGGAATCGATGTGAGAGCTGAAACATTACTGACATTCCCTCTGTAATACAACTGGGTTCTCTAATTTTATTTTATTTTATTTTCTTCCTCCATTTCTTAAGCTTGTCGAGCTGTGCAGTGTTGATTTGAATTGGGATTGATGATTTCTTTTACTGTTGCTGTTATTTTGTCTGTTTGTTGATTATACTTTTGCTGTTACACTTTGTGGGAGCAGTTAAAAGTTGTCCTGGCGTAGTTTGTTCGAGGAATTTTTTGTTTTTTCGATGTATTTGGGAATCTAGTTTCGAGATTTTTTTTTTGAAGAAAAGAGTGTTTCTGATCGAATCAAGCGTGAGTTTCTTTAATGGCGTTGCTCCGGGTTACTTTGTCTCTGCTGGAGAATCAAATCATGCACTAATCTGAAGAATTTTTTTTCTTCTTGATCTATTTCAATGTATGCTTTAAATTGTGTTTTCTTTTGGTTATAATGAGTTTCCAGATCTCTCCCTCTCTCTCTCTCTGTCTCTCTGACTTCCATTTGACTAGAATTTAACAATTCTTGTATTGCGAAATTGATTACGAGAAAGTGATTTCTCTGCTCATAGTTCACCGGTATTCGTAGTTTTGTTTCTATTTCGTATATGTTTGAATGCGTAGCTGAAGCAATGGCTGATTTGGGGGGTTGAATGATTTGGAACAAGATTTAAATCCATGAAAACAGATTCCTTGTTTGAATGGTTTTATTTTCAGTATAAATGTATATTACTTGTCTGATCTATTGAGATGCCTATTTGAAAGTCAGTTAGAAGTCATTTCGAATCCGTAATCTAACTTTTTCAGTCCAATTTGGATTCCTTATATGCAAATTGGGTTTATTAAGTGATCTTCTTCTTTGCTTTTATGGCTTTGAATATTTTGCGAATTAGGCTTATGCTCGATGCTGTGAATCTTTTGACACACACACACACACATATACATACTTACATACATATATATATGTATATGCATGATACATACATAGACACTGCTGACTGCTGATATGCATTGCCTTTGCACGGGGTGTAGGTGTTGAACTTTTGGCGTCGTGCTGAAGTATCTCCAAATGTTGTTATTACCAGAGGATGCTTAAATCAGGACTGAAATAATGTCGAGGATTTCGAAGTGGAAGCTTGAGAAGACTAAAGTTAAAGTCGTCTTTCGGCTTCAATTTCATGCTACTCACGTATGTTTTCACCTTGCTTGATTATATCAGTAATATCATGTAATATGCTCTTATTGCTCAGTGGTCAATTTTGATTTGTACCAAAAGTTTCACCCGTTTCGGTTTGTGTTTCATCTCATGTTCTGTAGATTCATTAGTTTTCCATCAACCATAGAGAAGGACAATTAGATTACATTAGCACCTGTTTTATTATTAATAAGTTACAGCAATAATTAGGTACCCTTAATATTATTCAAAATTCCTTTCATTATATATTCCCTTGCTCATTATATTTTATGTATCATATCATTATTTCATTCTTAGGACTACTTACTACTTAGTAATATGTAATTGTGAACTTTAATGTACCTATGTGAGATTTTGAGTATTTGACAAATGTGTTCAGTCTGGCCAAAGATTAAGGCGGGAAACTATCAGATACATGGGAAACTATCAAATACATAATATATACTCTTCTAGATCTTCTTCTTCTTTTTTTTTTTTAATTAAATTTTATCGGAAAAATTCTCTTCTAGATCTTAACATTATGTTAAGTGGTGGAACCAAATTGAACAAATAATTCAATAGCATGTTAAAAGCACTGGGGGATGCCTTCTTCGTTGAGTAACTACGAGGCACTGCAAGGGCGTGTCAGGATGAGTTGGCGTTGTGATAGCAGTGAAACGAGTTTGAATTAGTTTCATTGAAGCATAGACACAAATTTGGAGGTGGTTATTAAATCCCTCTTATTTTATTTTGATGGGAAAATGGGTGATCAAACTTGGTATTTAAATGTATGAATTTTCAAGTCTCCTAATTTTCATTTTTTCCTTTAGTTTTTCTTTTTCTCTGACCTATTGGATTAAAGGCAACACTGTGAACTGTTAAATGGCATACATCATTTTATCTGTGATGCTTAATGGATGCCTTTTCATTTGATCCTTCAGATTCCACAGACAGGATGGGATAAGCTGTTTATATCATTTATACCTGCTGATTCTGGAAAGGCAACAGCAAAAACTACCAAAGCAAATGTGAGGAATGGAACTTGCAAATGGGGTGATCCTATATATGAAACTACAAGACTTCTTCAGGATTCAAAAAGCAAGCAATATGATGAGAAGCTTTACAAATTTGTTGTCTCAATGGTACTGGTTTACATCTCGATTTGGATATTTACTATTAAATAAGATGAATCCATTAATTCATGTTTGTCTTCTTTCTCTGTCTTGTCTGTACCATTTATATTATTGCTCTGATTCCTAAGTTTTTTTGACAAATATCAAAAGTTAAAACTTTGTCAAGAGAAACACAAGATATGAAAGTAGGCATGGGACTAGTGCGCCTACATTGTATATCAAATGCTAACTAAACACATTATAAGAACTACTCTTACTCGGATATGTCTGTGGGATCTTCTATAGGATATCATACATTGGTTCCCAACAACAAAGTGATAGTGGATATAAATGTCTTTCTTTTCAGCAAAAATGAAACCTGGGATAGATAAGGTTAATGGCCTAAGACTAATGGGCCCATGGTTTTTTTGGTTTCTGTCAATGGGAGAGTTATGTTTCAAAAATGAGGTGAATCTTGATCGGATAATTTCATTTGAGAGCTGCACAATCTTGATGGCATGTGCATGTTTGTGATTTTGTTATGCTCTTAGTTAAATGATTTAAGATTTCCATGCTTATGGATTTCTCACAGCATATCAGACACATTTATCTGATCATTTTTCTGTTAAAATTAACTATCCAGGGTTCTTCACGTGCGAGCACACTCGGTGAGGCTACCATCAACCTTGCTGACTATGTTGATGCTCTAAAGCCTTCTATTGTAGCACTTCCTCTTCAGGGATGCAACTTTGGTACTATATTACATGTAAGTATGCAAGAATTTCACATCAAGTAATGGGATCTTTGTCTTGCATAAAAATTGCTTCAAATTGCTATACGTGCATGCCAACAACTCCATACTTGTGAAAAGCTTTTATTACCTCATAATTGATCTACAGTGTTGAGAGATTTTACACCTACTTGAAATTATAATCTATAAGAAAAAGGTCAATTACCCAATTCATATTTTAAATAGTTAATGCAAGATGTACCATCACGAGATTACGTAAAACTGTTCAAGGAGGGTTCTAATTGACTGTGGCAAGTTTAATAGCATAATTACAGTTGTTTTAAAATTCAAGTACAGGACTTCATTGCATCCACTGCTGTATCTAACCAATTCTCGCCTTTTGTCTTCAGTTGCTTAATTCTATTCTCTTAAACACTGGTATATTCCTCTGGAATTATTGAAGGCATAGTATTTTCGAATGGATATATATGCTAGCTGTTGATGCATGGTCTCATTTGTCACATAGTCTATTTTCCCTAAAGAAAATAATTCCCAGTGAAAGAAAAGTACACCCTCATGAAATTTAGGAATTTACTCAGTGAAAGAAAAGTACACCCTCATGAAATTTAGGAATTTACTCAGTGAAAGAAAAGTACACCCTCATGAAATTTAGGAATTTACCTTCCAAAGCGGGAAGTTCTTTTCTTTTTCTTTTTTTGAAACCACAAGGTGTTTTAAATGTTTAGTATTTGACAGAGGTTAGTTTTATTTTTTTGTTATGTAATATGAACCACATGTTATACTTGATTGACTGCACCTTTTTCGTGCCAGATTACCGTCCAGCTCCTGACCTCAAAAACTGGATTTAGGTACCAAGCAATTTTGCTGAATGCACACATTGATATACATATATATATATATATATGCATATTTGTGTTTCTGTACCATTTTCATGAACATATATATCATACATGGCAGAGAGTTTGAGCAGCAAAGAGAGCTCAGGGAAAGGGGGCTACAATCGGGGGTTGAAAGCCCCACTGATAAAGCCTCATATCCAGAAGATGCTGCCACTGATCATGCTCAAAAGGTCTCGTACTTGTTCTTATCTTCTTGATTTGTGCTTGCACATGATACACATTGAGCTTGTTGTGTTGCATAACCTGGGTTCAAATACATTTTAATTTGATTTCCTATTGTAGTAGTGCTCTTTTCAGTTAAGCAAACTTGGGATGAGGGTATTTCTGGTGCATCTCCTTCTCTTGATGCAATATGACAGCTAGGTCTTCTGAATTGTCATTATTAGTGCATAATAACAGAAAGTGAAATGGCATTTCATGATTTGAGTTTACTTTAATTGGTTGCGGAATCAGTGTAATGTCATGGAATCTATCTCTTATATGTGACGGGTAGAAAAATTATCTGTAGTGACTAGTGAGGATACTATTTATTGATTGTATAGCTGCATCAGTTTGAGTGTCTTCTGTGACCGAAATCTAATTCTTGTTTTTCCTTCTTAGTTTTCTACAGATCGGTGAAAGAATGAAATTGAAGCAAGATCCTAGTGAGCTCTCTTCGTTTGATGAAGAGGCAAACTTGAACGAAGAATCTGCAGACTCTGCTACTGGATTTGATGGCTCATCCCATACCTCCGAAAGTTTATATGCTGAGAAGCATGAGGCCTCTGGTGGACATGGGATTGAAAACCTCAAAAGTCCAATACCCGATGATGCGGTTTATCAATGTCAGAGTCCACATACTGTCAAAGGAATTCCATCTAATCAGAAAGTGGCACAAGAGAGTCCTGGTTCTGCTCAAGGATGGGGGTCTGTCACTTCTATGGATAACGAGTTTGTTATGGTTTTCCAGGAGAATACTAGGCTTAGAGGAAGCCTGGAATCGGCTGAATCGTCTCTGCTCAATCTTAAGGTGGAAGTCACCTCTTTGCAAAGCATAGCTGACCAGTTAGGATCCGAGACAGAAACGTTTTCCCATCTGATTGCTTCTGAGATATCTTCATCTAAAATGTTGGAAAAAGAGGTCTCTATCATGAGATCGGAGTGTCAGATGCTCAGGGATGACATAATCAGCCTCAAAGACTTGAAAGTTAACACCCAAATTCCAGTCGCCAGAGCAAGTGGTAATCCGGCTGATGACTTGGTTCAGAACACGCAGCTTCAATTTTTAAATGCGATTGCTGTAGTGGAAAGCAAAGTAAGAGAAATTCAGAACAAGGTGTATGTTGTTCCACACGATGGCGACACTAAGTTCATTTACTTAGAGTTGGAAGCTTTACTTAATTTTCTGCTCACTATTAAATTTGGAAGTACTGACCCAAACATGAATATAGTACCATCAGAACATGTAGATGTGAAGACAATTACAGCACGGAGCATGTGTAAGGATGAACAGTTTGTATCAGGAAATGAGCTGGGTTCGGATCTGTGCCCGCCTGAGAGTATTCTCCAGCATTTTAGTCTGAATCCTTCTGTGTCTGAGGTTAGCCCTTTAGGTGCCATTGACGCAATGAAAGGAAAAATTTTTGACCTTGTAAGAGAGTTGGATGAGGCGAAAGTCGAAAAGGAAGCTTTTACCCAAAAAATGCATCAAATGGAATGTTACTATGAAGCCCTTGTTCAGGAGTTGGAGGAAAATCAGAAGCGCTTGCTTGGGGAGCTACATCATCTCAGGAACGAGCATTCTGCTTGCATGTACACACTGTCCTCCAGCAGAGCTGAAATGGAATCGCTACATGAAGATATGAACCAGCAGATGTTACAGTTTGCTGAAGAGAGATGTAATTTGGAAGCTCTTAACAAGGAGCTTGAGAGGCGAACGACAACTGCAGAAGCTGCCTTGAGAAGGGCCCGCTTAAATTACTCAATTGCGGTGGATAAACTACAGAAGGACCTTGAGCTACTTTCTTCGCAGGTTATCTCCATGTTTGAAACTAATGAAAACCTCATTAAGCAGGCTTTACCATTGACGCCACAAATTCCAGGAGATCCAAAGTTATTGCAGAATCTGGAAGATGATGTTTGGAAATCCTCTCAGTTTCAGAACGTTAAGATGGGTATGCAAAAAAGATCTGCTGGTGGGGATGTGCTCTTAGAAGACTTGAAAAAATCGTTTTCCGTGCAGGAAGAACTTTACCAAAAGGTTGAACAAGAACTGATCGAAATGTATTCTCTAAATTTGAATTTGGATGTGTACTCAAGATCGTTGCAAGAATCTTTACATGAGGCAGATATGAGCATTAGGATCATGAAGGAAAGGCTCAATGAACTTGAAGAGGAGTTAAGGCTTTCGACCACATCTCAAAGTCAGTTGATGATGAAGTTGCAGAAAGCTACGGATGATATTCATGCGCTTAATGAGTTCAAGTTGAGTAGCATTTCGCAATGTAGCGATATGGCTTTACAGAATCAACTTGTAGAAGATAAATTAGTAAGTGTAACTGAGGAGAATTATCTTCTTGATCAGAAGCTGAAAGACTGCGAAAGCTCCCTGATGGAATGCAAAAGTTACCGAACCAAATATGAAGCTTGTTTGGGTGAGAATGCAGAGATATCAGTGCAATTAAAACATGTAGCCTCTGAAAACGAGCGACTTACGAATGAATTGTCACTTCTGAAGGATGAATTGACTTCTTTTAAGGCAAGTCGTGAAGAGGATACAAGTTTTTTGCGGGACAGGTTATCTAATCTGTTGCAAGCTTACAATCAACACCATTGTTGTGATGCTGTTTCGCGGAGTCTAAATTTCGAGAGCATGGATATGAAGACTGCATTGCTGCAGTTAGAAGAACTCCAACATCTTGCATCTGAGAAAATTAGTCAATTGACAGAGGAGAATCAAAATCTACAAAGTGAGAGAGACATTGCCGATGTGTCCTTGAATACTGCCCGGTCCGAAATTCTTCTGATGAGGCAGAAGTTCAAAAATGACATACAAGACATGGTGGCTAAACTGGACACGTCCAATGCTCTTGTGGACAAACTTCAAGTAGAACTTGAATCAGTTGCAAGCAAAATCCACATTAGTTCTGAAATTGAGGAGAATTTCACACAGCAGAGCAAAGTACTATTTGCTGATCTTGCCCTTTTGGAAAACCAAATGCAAGAGCTGACATCTAAAAATGGTCACTTTGCTCGAGATATTTTGGGATTGGATGCTGTTGCAGATGAACTTGGGAGGAGTAAATTAGCCATTTCTGAGCTTATCCACAATAAGCATGAACTTACAACTTGCTTGCAGGATAAAACTGAAGTGTGCAGCAAGCTTTCAGGTGAAATTGATAAGCTGAAAGAAGATCTGAAAGTTTTGCATGATAATTTGCAGGAGGAGAAGAATAAAAGTGAGGATCTGGAGGCAAGAGTTAAAGATCTTTCTTCTCACTTGAACAGGGATCAGAATGAAATGCTTGTCCTTGAACAACAGAAAGCTGAACTTGCTCTGTGCTTGCAGGGTAAATCTGATGAATCTACGAAGCTTTTGCATGAAATTAATGTTCTGAAAGATGACTTGAAAAGATTGTGTGATGAATCGCTCGAAGAAAAGGCTAGCATGGAGGCACAAGTTAAAGTTCTTAATTCTCGCTTGGACTTGGGCCAGGAGAAACTACATATGTTTGAGCAGGAGAAAGCTGAACTTCTTGTGTTGTTGAGGAATAAGACTGAAGAATCCACCAAACTTTCAGATGAAATTGATATTCTGAAAGAGAAATTGGAAAATTTGCACAAGGAGTTGCACAAGGAAAAGGCTCACAAAGATGAGCTGGAGGCAAAAGTTACAGATCTCACTTCTTGTTTGAGCAGGGATCAGAAGAAATTGGACGAGCTTGAACAACAGAATGTGAAGCTCGTGCATTTTAGGGAACTGGCATCAGATCTTGAATTAGAGAAATCAAGACTTACCCATCTTTTGTTTGAGCAAAATGTGTTTATAGAGAAGGTTAAGACGAATGGTGCTAATCAAGCTAGTCTTGAAAGTCAGTTATTGGAGATGTCTGAGTATTCTCTTGTGGTGGATGTTAAGCTTGTTTATCTGACAAATCAGTATGCGACCCTACTTGGGGAGCTTATCCCAAAATTTTCGTCCTCTGAAGAACATCTCGGGGAGCTTAAAAAAAAGTGTAATGATAAAGAGGATGTGTTTGAACATTGTTTAGCCCGGGAGGCTAGCTGGAGTGAAGAAAAAACTAACTTTTTGATTAGCCTGAACAGTTTAAAATCCGATTTGGAAGCCTGTGAAGATCAAAACAAGCTCCTTTCGGATTCAAATACAAAGATTCGGGACCAGCTTGAGGAGTGTAACTGGAAACTGAAAATGGTGGGGACTAGCTTTTCCTTGACTAATATTCTGCAAGCTTGTGAAGTTGAATGGATGAAAGCCATAATGATGGAAGTTGAGGAAGACATTGATTACTTGGCAGTCTCGAAAGAGGAATTGGAAATTTTGGTTACAGCGTTTAAAGGGAAACTTGATGAAGTGTGTGCTGATGTAAGTTTGGCGGAAGCATACAAAGATGAGCTGACTTTGCTTCGTGCTCAGTGTGCTGATCTTTCACATAAACTCTCTGAACAGATTTTGAAGACAGAGGAATTTAGGAATTTATCTTCTCATTTAAAAGAGCTCAAAGACAAGGCCGAAGCTGAATGCCTTTCAGCTCGGGAAAAAAGAGAAACAGAAGTAACGCCTGTCGCCGCTAATGATTCGCTGAGGATTGCATTCATCAAAGAACAGTATGAAACTAAGGTCCAAGAGCTTAAGCAGCTTCTTTCTGTCTCGAAGAAGCACGGGGAAGAGATGCTTATGAAGCTGCAAGATGCTATCAATGAAGTTGAGAATAGGAAGAAGACTGAAGCTATGAACTTGAAACGGAATGAGGAGTTATCAGTCAGACTCGCGGCATTGGAATCAGAATTGCAATCGGCACTTACAGAAAAACGCGAAAAGAGCAATGCTTATGACAGGGTACAAGCAGAGTTGGAATGTGCGCTACTAAGCCTTGAATGCTGCAAGGAAGAAAAAGAAAAGGTGTCATCGTTTTTGCAATATTTTGAGGCAGAAAAAACTCAACTTGCTATCGAACTTGCATCAGCGAAGGAGCAGCTGGAAAAGCTAAAGTCTTCTGAAAAGGATGATTGTTTTTATGGAGAGGACGGAAAGCATGAGAGTAATGGATCAGCTAGAAGCTCACTTCCTGTTTTCTTGAATAGGGATGGGTTGATTGGTGGCGTTAATAGAGAAAGAGTTGCATCAACGCTGGATGGTGAAACTGCAGATTCGACTGAGCCTGTGCAGTTGCAAAATGTTCAGGTATTAACTTTCTTGGAAGAATTACTTACAACTAAATATAAATCATATATATCTGCTTACCTTTGGTATCATGGTCCTTCAGCGTTAAGGGGCTAAGGTAACAGGAAAACATGATCATTAGTTTAACGAATTTGGTTGTTTGGTGCTTTTAATGTGCTTTGGGAATAGTGAAAATTTTAAATTGAGATTTGTTTGATGTCTGACCTTAAATTTGCAGGATGCTACACCTCCTCTGGGACTGCATCACATTCCGGACGGTGCTTTAATGGAAGAACTCCCTGAGAGCAACGGGAGGAGTTTAAATGTTAACAAGGAACTTTTTGGTGTCCAAAGTTTAAAATTGAGCCTGGAGCATTTACATGAGGAGGTATTTCTTTCTGAGAATTGCTTTACACTTGGAAGCTCCATTATAATTTATGTTTTCTTGACTGCAGCTGGAAAAGATGAAAAGCGAAAATGTAGTAACCGAAAATCGCGCTAATGTGGACCTGGATTTTCAAGCTCATCAAAAAGAAATGTTGCAATTGCATAAGGTGAGTTTGATTCCTGTCCTATTTCATCTCTGTGGTCGAGCAGCAACTTATGTCTGTTTTATTCTTGTTGTCACGTGGAAGGCAAATGAAGAGCTCAGGAGCATGTTTCCTTTGTTCAATGAAATTTCGGGTGGTGGGAATGCTTTAGAAAGGGTTCTTGCATTGGAAATTGAACTAGCGGAGGCTTTGAAGGCGAAGAGTAAATTGAGCACCCAATTCCACAGGTAAGACTTCAAATCTTTATAAAAACTTGTTTATCATATCTTGTCGATGATTTAGCCTAGTGTTTATTTTAGCCATGAGTATTGATCGTTGCTCGGTGACATTAGTGTGTTTTTGATGGAAGGGAAATTACCAGCCAATATGTTAGAATCTTTTTGTGGTTTGTCATGCTATTTGTGTTCTTAATGAGCTCCTTCTTCAGCTCATTTCATATGGCTAGAGAATTTAGAGCTAACTGTCATTGACCATTCTGTTTGAGTATTGCCAAATATATTAGGGTTTGTTTAGTTGTGTTATGGAAGTAGTTTGGTGTTGCGAGAATAATAAAAATTTGAATAAAAATAAGGTTTGCATTTAGATATATTTTGGAATTTGAGATTGGTTTGAGAATAGTAAAAAAATTGAATAGAAAATAGGTATTCGATATGACATAAATAGGTGTTAGGCTTGATGTTTTGAACAGAGAATAGGTTTCTGATTTAATATTTTAAATAAAAAATAGGTTTAGGGTGTGATGGTTTTTAGGGAGAAATTTTTATGAATAGTGCCAAGACAGTTTTGAAAATACAAGTAAATATTGTAAGTGTTGTATTATCATGTTTTAAGTTGAAATTGTGGTTGTTTTGTGGAATATTTTAAAGGGATATATTTATATGAGGTATAGAGAATTTGGTAGATAATATAAAAATAATAAATGTTTGTGATATACTATCTCCGTCCGGTTCTAAGGGTGTCATTTACTTTTTGCGTGTTGATATTTAAATATTAAGTATTATATGAAAACATAGTACAAATTAAGAGAAAAAGACTAAAATACGTCTATTAGTATGTTATAATACTATTATAATGACATTTGTGCAAATAATTATACAAATATAAGGATATTTTTAATATTAAGTACAATGACGCAAAAGGTAAATGAGACCCTTAGAGTCGGACGGAAGGAGTATTAATTTTTTTGAAAAAACGTGTGGGAAAAAAATATAAAGAGAACACACATCTTGAATATTGAATGTGCTTTTTATGTAATTTTTATTTTCTTTAAAAATATAGATGTTTAGCATAATGATTTTATGGGAAATTTTGAATGTGCTTATGTAATATTGAATATGTTTTTTCGATTTTGAATCTGAATAGTTGTTTGATGTGATATTTGATTTGAATCTAAATAGTTGTTTTTATGTGATGTAAATATAAATTGATGTGATATTTTGAATATAAAATTGACTTTTAGTGTACTATAAAAAAAATGTATTTGATTTGATGTTTTGAGGGAAAAAATTATAAATAACTGTAATCCATTTCATGTCAACTCGAATTAGTTATCAACATGTCTATTTTACTTTCGAAATCAAATAAAATCATTCAAACGAACACACCTTTTTGGTGTTTTGGATTTAAATTTTTTTGAGTGGAAATAGTAGTTGGACGCAATGTTCTGGAGAGTTTAGATATTGAACATAATGTTCTTAGTGATAAAATAATGTTCATAGTTTTCTCGTAGTTCTTTTTCAAATACCCTGTGGTTTATGCGGTGTCATTTGCATTTTACTCGATAATATATTGTAAAAAGCCGCATTCTATTTATTACACATTCTTGCTTCGACGAAGCGCGGGGCATAACTCCAAATGCATGTGCTTCTTCTATTTTCAGCTCGTTCTTGAAACAGCATCCAGACGAGGAAGCAGTTTTCAAGAGCTTTCGAGACATCAACGAGTTGATAAACGAAATGTTGGAACTGAAGGGTAGGCACGCGGCAATGGAGACCGAATTGCGGGAAATGCATGACCGCTACTCTCAATTGAGCCTGCAGTTTGCCGAGGTCGAAGGCGAGAAACAGAAGCTTAAGATGACGCTTAAGAATGTCCGGTCGAGGAAACTTTCTGCCCTGAATCGAACATCGTCTGCAAATGCTGCAGATCAAACTTCCCAGTAGCCGATGATTGCGATTGACGGCCTCGACGGGAAACGGTATTTTATGACTTCTTCTCCTTAGTGTAAATAGTTTTATTGCAATGGACAAAGGTAAGGTTTTTTTACAGGGAAAGGAACGATCGATCAATCCCTTTAAAAAAAAAAGGTTCTAGCTTTGTGGTGTTGTAATTAAATTAAATTAAATTAAATTAATTAAACTATGTATAGAGAAACACCATTTAATCCATACAACTTTTGATGTTGTTATAACTTCAGTTTGGATCTTTTCTTGGGTTTTTAGGTTCTTGTACGGATTCTTTATTTAATCAGACTAAATATTTTGGTTCAATGTTGTGTTTTATTTAATTTTTTGTTACCTCTAATTTTCTAAGTTATTTTACATAGGATCTCATAGCATTTTTTTTTTGTAAAATATTACTCCCTCCGTCCCACAATGTCCACATTGCCGTTTTTGTCTGTTGTCCCTGTCATTTTTTTTTTTTTTAACATATTACACTTTAATCTCATTTTAAAATTTTTTATTTTATAATTTTTAAAATTTTAATTAGATTAATTAGTTATCTTAATTTTAATCTATAATTATTTATATTATATGATAATTATATTTTTAATTATTTACTAATTATATTTATCTTGAATTTTCGTATCTACAGTAACCTGAACAAGATACATGAGATAGAAAAGTTTAAAATAGAGTATATGACTGTATTTTATATAAATAGATTTAATAGCGCATTTGAAAAATAGCGATTGTAGTCGTAAGTTTTCGACAATTCTTTATAAGGTTATATGTTCACTTATGGGCTTGACTTTAACTTCATTATCTGATTCAACAAGGTGAATTCATTTCATTTTTGGCTATGTCCAAACATTCTTATCAAATGACTTGATAAAAGATTTCATTTGAGTTTGAGATATGATATATTTATTTCATTCAATAATAGTAGTTTCGAAATTGGAATTCATTTTTTTTCTTTTTTTTCCGTCAATTATATCTAGTCATTTTATCAGATTAATAAAAAAAATCTAAAAATAATTGGCTACATACTAATTATTAGAATTATCGTCTACTTTGATATTTAATCATAAATAAAATAATAAAGATACAAATTAAAAAGTTTATAATATTTCATTGATGGTTTTTTTAACAGCAAAGTTCTTTCTTTTTCTACAAAGATATATAAACTTTTTTCTTATTTTTTTTTTATATATATATAATATAAAATATCACATAAAATCATTATTAAAGAAGAAAAACTTTAAGAAACATTCCTTAAAAAACGTAAAAGATCCTCTATAGTCTATACAATGATGATTATATATATATATATATATTAGTATTGGTTACAATGATGAAAAGGATGAAAGAAACCTTGCGAAGAAGAGCATTTCAACTGTACTGTACGAGGATCATGTTATTTTTTTCTGATGCTATTTATTTTTTAAAAAATATCATATCAAATATAGTTTTTTTTTAATAAAATATCAAATCAAATAATAATTGACAATAATACATAATATTTATTTTTCATATAATAATTATATTCAATTACTATTTCACATTCAAATAATAATAATAAAATCTTCAAATGTCTTTCTGTTTGTATTTTTTGTTTGTTTGTTTTTTTTTTTTTTATGTAAAATTAGGTTGAGTTTGTATGCACAATAAAATTTCTTCCAATACTATTTCGAATATATAATATATATACATATATATTATATTATATTATCTCGACACAATTTTGTCATGACTCGTATATAAAAATGTTGATATGTCTTAAATTTAGTTTACCATTTCGTTGAGTTTTCATGGGATCCTGTTCGGTCAGCGAGTCGGGGTCGAGAGGGCGTCCCCTTGCCTGGGTCTGGGGCCGTGGAGTGGCCGTCGGCCCGGAAGTATGCATTATTGGACTTTGGAGTTGGTATTAGATTGAGCCCGTCTGATGTATTCTTTTAGTTTATTTGAATAGACTTAGACATGAAATGTGTAATATCTAATCTCTAATGTAATATGTAATTTTAACGCAACCGTCATTAGTAAATTTGTTCTCCGTTTCTGCCCGTGGACGTAACCAACACATTGTTGATAATCGCATAAATTTGTGTCTACTTTACGTTTCTATTTGTTATTGATCACTAATCCTAATATTAAAAATATATACACATTAATTCAGTATATGTAATATACTATGTCCGTCCCACTTAATTTATCCACTCTTTCTATTTTCGTCTGTCCATGTAATTTGTCATTTTTTAGAAAAAATATAATTATACACTTTAATCCCATTTTAAAATTCATGATTTATAATTTTTTTTAAATAACCTATTTAGTCATTTTAAACTTAATCTATAGTTATTTTTATTAAATCATAATTATTTTTACTAATACATTTGTTAATTACTTACTAATTACTCAATGTCTAAAACTCCGTACCTAAGCAAATGTAGACAATTTAAGTGGGACAGAGAATATACTTGATTCGTTTAAAAAAATTAAAAATTCAACACAAAATATTATTTTTTATATTACCAACAAATATTATTTTTTATATCACCAACTCAATTCTCCGTATTTAATATAAAAAGAAATAAATTCATAAAAAATACAATTAAGATTTATTTAAATACTCCCTCCGTCCCCAACATCGTACAACATATGAATTCGGCACAAGAATTTAGGTGGATAGTATTAAGTAGAGTAATTTGAGATAATTTGAAAGATTAGGTGACGTGATTGGAGAGAGAAATATATGTTTACTTTTTTATCTGAGTGATGCAATAAGATAAAGTGAATTTTATATTTATATATATATAAAATATAATTAATTATTTCTAAATTTGAAAATGTTGCAATGAGTTTGGGACAAAAAAAAATGTTGCAAAGTGTTGAAACGGAGGGATTATTATGTAAAGAAAAATAATACTCCCTCAATCCAGTTAGAAAACATACATATTTTTATTTTGAAACGTCCAATTACAAAGTAAACATTTCATTAAATACCTACTTTTTTCCACAAATACCCTTACTTCACATCACATCATTACTTTTACACAAAAAAAAAAATAAGGGCAAAAATATCATTACAATATTTTTAACTATCCACTATAATTAAAATACTATTATTTTTTAAATATTGCGTCAAAAATAAATGTGTACGTTGTGATGGACGGAGGGAGCATAATTTATGAAATATAATGCAATAGAATTAGAAATTTTTTTATTTGGAAACCGAGCCCAACAGACCTGTGTATTTTTTTTTTCTAAACAATTGTTTGAATATTAGAAAATATATATTTTTCATAAAATTATGATTATAATAATAATAAAAAAAGCGAAATCAAATTTCGAAAACAAAACTTTATTTTTTTCAAAAAAAAAATTGAGAATAAATGTTGAAATAAAATGGAATATACTTTTGAATTAATACAACTAATTTTTATATATTTTTATTTTATTTTATCTTTTTTATAGTAATAACATATAAATTTTCATTTAAAAGATCATATTCAACAATTATGCTATTCAAACCCAAATTGTATATTTTGGATTTGATTCAAAACTTCAGGTTTGGTTGCCCATAATTTTTTTCTTTTCGATACAATTGTGAATATATTTTTTCTATTTTTTTTATAAAATTCAATATTCAAAATAAAATTTTATTTTCAAAATTATCAATAAGATTTTTTATACATTATATAAAAAAATTCAAATCAAAATATTAAACAAACAAACTCGTATTTTTCATCACTATCACTATTTTTTTCCTGAAATATTAAATAAATAAATAAATATTTTAAATTTTTATACTTCCTCAGTCATTCAAATATATTTTTATTTTTTTTTTAAATTGTCATCCAAATTTATTTCCGTTTTCTTTTTAAATAAAAAAATATCACTTTTCTTTACAAAAAATTAAAAATTTCTATTCTTACATATTTTTCTTAAAATTCGTGCCAAGTCAAATGAATATACAATTGAATGACAGAGAGATTATTTAAATTTAAAAGAAATTTAATTTTAAATAATAACCAACATGCTCTTGACAAGTAAGTAGTTGTTATGTGCTATCACCATAGGATTTCTATCACTAACCTAACATTTTATTTCATTTTATTTTATTTCATAATATAATGGTAAGTGATAGTGACTCGATGTTAGTGTAGCCATTGCTTAAATAATTAATTCATATATATATAATACTATTATAATTTGTCATAATATAAATATTACTCCCTCCGTCCCATGAATTATGGGCCTATTACTATAGATACGAGAATTTATGTAAAATATGATTAGTAAGTAATTAAGAAGTGTATTAGTAAAAATAATTATCGTATAATAAAAATAATTGTGGATTAAGATTAAGATAACTAAATAGTTTAATTAAAATTAAAAAAAATTATAAAATTTAAAATTTAAAATGAGATTAAAGTGTATAATTATATTTCAAAAAAATAATGAACAAATTATGTAGAATTAACGAAAATAGAAAATAGGGACAAATTACGTGGGACGGAGGAATTAATAAACAAATAACCCTTTATTGTAAAGTACATTTCACTACCTGGAAAGAAGATATTTTATAGATATAATTATGCTATTTGGTCCTATAGATGTCATTTTTTAATAATATAATTTGAATAAGTTTGGTACATTTGGAAAAAGTGTTAAATTTTATTTTATATCATGGGATAGATTGATTTGTCTTCATTGTCACGTGAAAACAGATGATCGAAGGATATAATATATAATGGAAAAAATTAATTTTAATCGTAATATAATCAAAATTTATTAATTTTGATCCAAAGATAAAAAACATTTCATCAACTTTAGTCATATTATAAACAATTCCAATTAATTTTGGTCCCATTGTTAAAAAATAATTAACGGAAATTGCTGACGTGGAAATAACGGATGTGACGTGGCAGCTTACACGGCCATGTACAATTTCCGTTATGTCCACGTCAGCAATTTTTGTTAATTTTTTAACGGTGGGATCAAAATTGATTAAAATTGTTTATAATGAGACCAAAATTGATTGAAATTGTTTATAATGAGACTAAAATTGATGAATTTTTTATATTGGGACCAAAATTGATAAAATTTGATTATATTATGACTAAAATTGATTTTTTTCCTAATTGAAACTATATATTAATAGTTTATACTTACAAATGTATTATACAAATATATTTTTCTACGTTGAAATTAATAATAATATATATTGGGTAGACAATTAGAATGTATTTGTTTTGTGAAATAATTTAAATTAATATTTTTTTTATATATATAAAATATGAAAAAATGTATAAAAAAATATAAAATAGTGAATATATATATGATATATTAATATTCTTTTAATATACATGTATAAATTTTTTGTTAAAAAAAAATAGAATTTTTAAAGTGTATATTGTCCGTTCACATAATATATTTATATTATATTGACATAAATCAATTGCGGCCTATTACTATATGTTTATCAATACTATAATTCAACGGATGTTATTACAATATAATACTATATTTTTTTTTTAATCTATCAATTAAATTTGTCTTATTATTCCCTCCATCCATGCAATGTCTGTATTTTTGCACGACGGAAGAAATATTAATTTTAACAAAATTGTCAATATTTTTTATTTTCATCGGTCCCGTATAATTTGTTATTTTTTTAAATATAATTATATGTTTAGTTATATTCTAAATTTCATAATTTATAATTTTTTTAATTTTAATTAAAATATTTAGTTATTTTAATTTTAATTTATAATTATTTTTATTAATAGATTTTTTAATTACTTATTAATTATAATTACCTAAATTATAATATCTACAACAAATAGGACAATTTATCTTAGATGAAGGGGAGTATTATCTTAACGTTTAAATTAACTGATTACATGAAAAATAATTTAATCTAATGAATATAAAATTTTATCTTATAAATTAACAATATTATATAATTTGAAAATATCATAACTAATTTTTAACTATAAAATACATATAATATAATTTATGTATAATTAAATAAAAATACTATAATATATAATATTAAGAATATAAGAGGTAACTGTAAATTTTTTCCTCTCCTCCAAGTCCTTTCTTGACCAAACAAATGCTCTGTCCCCAAATATTAATAGATAATTAAAAAGTATATTAATAAAAATAATTATGCATTAAAATTAAAATTAAGATAAATAAATAATTTAATTAAAATTAAAAAAATTATAAAATTTAAAATGCGATTAAAGTATATAATTATATTTAAAAATAAAAAGAACAAATTATGTGAGACGGACAAAGATAAAAAATAAAGACAAATTATATGAGACGGAGGACAGAAAGGAGTATCATATTTTTATTACATTATCTTTTTATTTTATTTTAATTTAACTAAATTTTAATAATATCTTCAATTATTCTTTTATTTTTTATTATTTTTTAATTTTGTATCGAGTCAATTGTGCTTATAAATAATTTTATAATTTAAAAACTAATAAAAATAGAACTTACTATTTATTAGGGGACCAATCAGACGTCGCCACACAATGACGTGACTCATTACTCAGAGAGGCTGGCATGGTCCGTCCCTACCAACTGCCACGTGTCCTCTAATTTCCTTTTGTTAAAAAAAAAACAATTAACTAATTATTTAACATTGTAGGGGAGCACCGTTCGCATAGAGCGACACGCCCACGAGACCATATATCAATGGAATTGACAATAATACCCTTAATATTTTATTTATTTATTTATTTATAAAAATTAATTATTAGTTTGAAATATATTCGATATAAAACATTATATTATTAATATAAAAAACAATATTTTATATTAATTATTATTTTATTAAATTGATTAAATATATCAACATATTATTATTATTATTATTATATATATTTATAAAAAGTACAAATTTCTTTGTTTTGTGAAAACGTATAATATATAATTTCCAAAAAATTATTATTTATTTTGTCCCACTAAAAATGTTTATATTATTATATACATGAGAATTTGGGTAAGTAAGAGTGTATTATTAAAAATAATCATTAATAAAAATAATTATATACTAAAATTAAAATAATTAAATATTTTAATTAAAATTTTAAAAAATATAAATTATGAAATTTAAAATGTGATTAAAATTAATTATTATATGTTAAAAATAAAAAAGGAAAAATTAGAAAATAAAAAAATAAACATTTTTATGTAAAACGGAGATTATATCATACACTTACTATTTTTATATTACTTACACAATTATCTATAAATAAGGTAAAAAAAAAAAAAACATACCCTACATTTATTGAAGTTTAATTATCAACACATCACAATAGGTGGATAAATGTTTCGGAATTTTAAGGGTCTAATATGATTTATTCATTCTAATTCAATATATTTTTTAGAGTGAAATAAAAAAATAATATTTTATTAATTAGTGGAAATATACATGATCATATTGATATTTTTACTTTTGAAAGTAAAAAAGTAAATATTTTTATAAAAATAAAAAATATTTTGGTGTTTAAATATAGTTACTTTTATTATAATTAACAAATTTTAAATGAGAGAAATATAAACGATAAAAATATACATTGAATTGAAATAAAAAAAATATACTCCATCAATCCCTTAACAATTTATCTATTTTTAATCCGTCTCATAACAAAGTATCAATTTTATTTTTTAGTAATTGTACTATCTACCTAATATTACAAACACCTTTTCAATTTACAATATATTACACAAATGCCATTACCTTTATATAATACAATACTAATATGGTTAATTTAGTCTTTATATTTTTATTTTTATTTTATCACAATATAATATTAATATTTCTAAAACTCGATGAAGAAACAAATGAATATATATAGATATAAGAGGGAGGGAGTATATTGGTAGAACTTTGTACAATATTTATCAATAATAATTAAAAAAACTATTTCATATATTTCAAAACAATCTTAGTGATACTGTTATTTAATATATTATTTAATTTAAATTCAAATCCAAAATCAAACAATATAATTCCTTTTCAAAGCTTGTATTGTTATATTAAAATATACTATTTTTGTTCGGCTGTACGAGTCCATTTGTTTATTTATTGATATTTGAATAATAATTATTACATTAAAACGTAGTATAAATTAAGAAAAAATTGTAAAAATATTTTTTTATCAGTGTCTTAATACTAATAGAAAGATATTTGTAAAAAAAATTATACAATATACAAATGTGATCTTAAAGGCAGAGATGAAATATTTTTTTAGTTATTTTTACAAAGCTTGTATTGTTATACTTATTAAAATAAAAAAAATTTGTTTAATTTTTTGAAAAATTTATTTATATAATATTTGAATAAGATATTTTATAAAAAAATATGTATTTATTAAAAATAAAATAATCAATGATAGTTTATTTTTGAGCTGATATGTTCTATTAAGCACATATGCAACATAGAATTATTATAGATGTAACATATAATTCAGTAAAATATGAATATTTTTAATTATAAATTATTTTATTTTTTTATTATAATTATAATAAAATATTTAAAGAACATAATTCATAGTAAAAAAAGAAAAAATCCCACATCAACTGCAACGATCTTTTAAACAAAAAAAATAAAAATTGAAAGCAAATAAATATAAATAATTTGAAATTAATTTTGAATTTAATTATTAATTAATTTTTTAAAATAATATTTTAATATAATAACTTTTAAAAAATACACCATCTATCATATTTAATTTGTTTACTATTTTTATTTTTATTATCTTACATAATTTTTTTTTTTAATTTTAAAATTTGTAATTTATAATTAGGGACGGACTAAGTAAATTTTATTTAACCGCTGAGAATTTAAAAATCACATCAAATAATACAAGGGTAATTTGGGAAGTAAAAGAAAGAGAGAAGGCAAAGTAAGTTGAGAGAGACAGAGAGAGAGAGAGAGAGAGAGAGGGAGGTGTACTGTAAATTGTAATGGGAACTGGAAGAAGAAGAAGAAGAAGAAACAAACTCCCATAGCTGTCAAGCTGATATGTAATGTAATGTAAGCACCGTGCATTTACGCGCATCAATCCAAACCTCTCCTACTCCTTCTCTACTTCCCTTCCCTTCCCCTCGCCGCTTCCAATCACTCCCAAATCTCCATGGGGAAAACCCATCCCATCGCTGCATTTTTAGTAATGCTGCTCGCCACTGACAGCTTTGTAGCTGGTCGCATTTACTCTTCCAGGCTCATCCACAGGTTCTCCGATGAAGTGCAGGCTTTGTTGATGGGGACCGGAACCGCGTCGTGGCCGGAGAGGAAGAGCTTCCGGCATATGAGGTTGCTTCTGGGGAATGATTTGAGGCGGCAGCGCCAGCGGCTGAGGCTTTGGCCTAATAATCAAACTCTGGTGGTTTCTCAGGGTGGCCAGACTTCCAACTATGGCAATGACATGGGTTGGTAAGCTTGTTTTCACTTACTAGGTTTTGGTTTTCCCTCAAATGCCTTTGCGCTTTGGATTTTCCTTTTTTTTGAATATTTGATTGCTATATGGAGGAATGTGGTTTGCAACTTTTGTTTCTGACGATTGCAGAAAGGGTTTGGAAGCCATATTTGTAAAAATGATGGATGTTTTGAGGTTTTTTAATTTTAATTTTTTTTTTCTTTCTTCTGCTGATTTCTTAAATAAAATACTCTCAGATCTTCACTTGATTGTTGGATGTTAGAGTTGGGCATTGTACTGATTGATCATGGGTTTTCCTATTCTTGTGGGTCTAGTGTTGAAATGATTAAATAGATACAGAACAATTCAGTGAATTACTATTGAGATTTGAAGTTTTGTTAAGTGTAAACAAAGGTGGCTTTTGATCATTCAGTTTGATTGTTATTGTTGGATGAGGATTAGCCAGAGTGGTTTTGTTGATCATTCGAAATTTTTTTGAGGGGAAATGGTTGTTGACATGATTTTTTGGAATAGAACATAGATGTGGGACTGTAGATTGAAAATATGAAAATGGAAATTAAAACAAGGGAGTAGCTTGATATTGGCATTGTGAATTATAGTGTACTGGGATGAAGGGTTCCTTTTTCTCTTCATTTTTAGTCACATCTAAAGTTGGGGTGTGGGGGGGTGGGGGTGGGGGTGGGGGTTGGGGGACAGTATAAATACAGAGACAGTGGTGCAATGCCATCCTAAACTACGTAAGCAGCTGCTCAAACTAAGTGAGTCTGTTTTGCCTGCAACTCAAAAAGTGTAAAGTAAAGCATACAGACAATACGAGAGAATCGGAAAAAAAGAAAGGAAGAAGCTATCTATAGCCATATAGATAAATCAAAATTTTCGTCTAGCGTCACACGCAGCGAAGCGAAAAGCAAACTGTTGTTTGAAGACAGGTATTTTGGTGACCGCATAACAAGTTGACCTTTTTCCTACAATTAGTAATCTGAATCCTCTAATGAGTTTCGTCATCTATATGCATGAATGGAAGTGACGTAATGGCCATAGTGTCAGCGGCATGCCAAAACCTTCGATTAGAAGTCACGACTAAGATCTAGATATGACCGTCATTGTATATGTTGATCATGAAACGTTAATTTTTACTTTCGAATATAAGCAGGTGATTTATTGCCACCATTACAAAAGGTTAGTCGAACATGGAACATAAGTTCGTCTGATTTCCTATTTTATAGTGTGGTGTAATAATATTACATTTTTACTATGTACACCCCAAATTACCAACGAGGCAGAAGAAATTTGATCAATGAATTGTATGGTAATAAGCCCGGTCATTGTTTTGAATATATGTCTTCTAACTAACTAGCTCTTGAATCCGTACATTCTTTTGTAATAAAATCGAGCAATTTACTACAGAATCTTTTGTGTATCATTAATTAGTCTATTACAATTATCAATTCACTATGGAGTCAAAATCAGATTGGCTATAATTTGGTTGGTGGTTGAATTTCATTACATTGTGCTCCAACTTGTATGTTCACTGACCACCCCATTCTCATTACTTTCTCTCAAGTTTAACACATGAGGGTTTTGCTACATGTTCGATGTGGATAAATAGTTTCAAGATGCTAGATAATCAGAGTCACGGACATCTATACATAATTGATAACTTTTGGAATGAGGATGCATAGATAGCAACCTCAAACTGTATACAGCTAGATCGGTAATGTAGAGGGACAACTTGAGAATTGGTTCGAAAACTTAAAGTATTGCAGATTAAAAGTAGCAAGAAGCATAAATCGTGGCCCAGGAAATTTATCTAATACATGGCTGTTGTCTCTGTACTTGTTGCTTGCTTCAAGGAATTTTCCTTTCTTAAAAACTTTAATGGAAAGGGGTATTTAATTTACGTTGTTGAATATTGAACATGATGCAAAGATAGACATATTGTGGTAAGCATAAAGCAGATACGGTCGAGGAATATCTCTGGCCTTCATCAACAACCATTGCCTTAATGAAGCTTATCCCGGGTGCCTTTAAACCTGGATTCCTTATTTCTTTTGGAATCTAAAAAATACATACCTATTTTTTAATTGGATGAAAATTGTAAATAAAGAAAGAGATCATATATAAATAGGATGAAATAATTATTATAGTCTAAGTACTATGCATTCTGAGTTCTGTGTTCTTATTATAGACTAATATCATTACTTTATTTTTAATATATGGAAACAAAAAATAGATGAGAGGTGAGTTATTGGAGTTAGTTGGTCAGTGATGGTCGATTATTTAATTTTTTACCACATCATCTCTTCTAAATTTTGTTGTAAATTGTAATGCAATGGATGATGATATATGTTTTTAATTTTCAGGTTGCATTATGCCTGGATCAATGTTGGGACGCCAAACAATTCTTTCCTCGTAGCCCTGGACACTGGAAGTGATATGTTTTGGGTCCCATGTGATTGTGTTAAGTGTGCTCCTCTGTCGTTGAGCAACTATAACAAGTTGGTATGCTATCTGGTTTCACATCGGATCCTCTTGTCTATTTATTGTTAATTTGTGTCGAAAAATGAACCCTTTATACTCTGTTGGATGCATTGCCAGAGAACTATATATAAATAGATATAAAATACATTTTCGATCAATACAAGCTACTAAAAAGACGAGGTTAATTACCATAGTGTAGAGTGGGAGATCTTGAGTTCAAAGTTTGAACTCCCACACTCATAATATTAACTGATATAATATCGTATGAATGGATAAATTACTTGAGTTTCTAGTTAGTGACTGTTTTTCTCAATCGCTACATTGGGAACACAATAATTTGCTAGAAAATTTGCAAGAATCAAAATTTATTTCTTCATTGAAACATCTTCACGAGTCACAATTTTTCTTGTGCATGCTAAGACTCGAAACCTTATATGGTGGTCGGATCTCTGTACTAGGTTTAGCTGTTAATTCTTCAGTGATTGATTGGCAGGTGCTCCCTTGTGTTTGGGGCATCTTCTGTGCAGGATAAAGAACTCGGAGAGTATAGCCCGGCCCATTCCAGTAGTAGCAAGCAGGTACCGTGCAGCCATGAGTTGTGCGAAATGGCGCCTAACTGTAACACTCCAAAGGAGCATTGCCCTTACGCTACCAAATATATGTCTGATGACACTTCGAGCTCGGGATTTCTTTTCGAGGATCTGTTACATTTGGCCTCAGCGGGAGGAAATACACATAATAGCTCTGACCGTGCAACAGTAATTGTGGGGTGTGTGTAGCTGATTATGCGAAGTTCTGTTTCCTGATTCTTAATATTTATTCCTGTTTCTTGCCTTGATTGCAGCTGCGGCAGCAGGCAAAGTGGTGAGTATTTAGAGGGAATTGCACCTGATGGTGTAATGGGATTGGGACCTGGCGACATTTCAGTTCCAAGTTTGCTTGCAAAGTCTGGTTTTGTTCCTCACTCATTGTCATTTTGTTATGACAAGAGCTACTCTGGTCGGCTCTTCATTGGGGACCGAGGGCCTCCATCTCAAAAATCCACTTCCTTTTTAGATTCAGAGCAACGGTATGTTGTGGTCTTCGTTTTAAACAGCCTTATATTGGCCTCCTTAACTCTTTAACTAAGATATACATGCATAGATTGGGGTGAATCAAAAGTTTGTTTTCAATTTTATGCATCGATATTAAGAAAAAATTATTATTAAAACGTTATGGGTATGTTTGATTATCAATTTATGCAGTGTGATTGCTTAAAAAATCACAGAAACCATACGTAAGAAGAAAATATTTAAATACCACTAAATATTAATGTGTTATATACATATATATCTTTTGGGGCACTCGAAATTCTTGGTACTTTGTTTTTTCAACTCAGGCTTTAGTATGAAAAGGTCTAACCCAAAATTTTTGGTACCCGACGCAATCTGACACCCACCTTATTATATGTGCAATGCAGTTTAGGTGCCCGTGCCCACTTTACGTTAACAATTTTGCTTGATTCCTTACAGTGCCTACTTTGTTGAAGTGGAAATGTATTGTGTTGAGGGTACCTGCTTGAAGCAAACTGGGAACACAGCACAAGTTGATACTGGGTCGACTTTCACCTTTCTTCCGGATGACAGCTACGACCAAGTTGTTGCTGAGGTTCATATTCTTGTCCATCAATCTTATTTTGACATGAATATCTGCTTTGAGGAGTTCTTGAAATCTCTTTTCCATCTTCAGTTTCACAGACAAGCAAATGCTTCGAGGACTACCTATGACGTGTTTGATTATTGTTATCAGGCTAGGTAAATATACATATTGTGTGCATTTGCTCTGTTTGATATGTGGAATTATTTACGGTAGCTTTAGCAGTTTGCTCTTTTTACTTACGGTTGGTTTTGCCCATTCTTTCTCGTACAGTGCACTCAAAGGCCCGAACATCCCAAGCCTGAAACTTGTGTTCTCTTTGAACCAAACTTTTGTGGTTGAAAATCCTACATTCCATGCTATTGAGGATGAGGTGTGTATTTGCATGGTTCTCTTCAATTTCTGTCGAACTAGTATAATGTACGACCATCAACTGTTTTCTTAGCCCAATTTAATCGTCCGGTCACATACATCCATGTGTAGTGCTTTAAGTGTGTGATCTTTCTGTGTTAATTTGAAGATTAGTGATTGGTAACTTAATTGAAATACGTGTTTGATTTGATGTAAAATATGATGCTGATTGGATACTAAGCTGATATTAGTTCGACAAAGCTGGGTATAGTGTTTCTACGAGTACAAATAAATCAAGCAAGAATAGTGATTATATAATTGTCGTGTAAGTTGCCTTTGGGGCATTAGGTGTTTTGAGTGTATTTTTATTCATTTATTCTTCTTAAAAATATATCCATCGACTATAATTATACTATCCATTGCAATGATTGAGTAATGATAGTTAGCTCTGTTCTTTAACCCGAATTGACTAGAGCTTTTAGTGAGTCGAGCAAGCTCTTTAATTGATTAAATGAGCTCAAATTTTCTGAGTATTTTTTTGACCTCTAGCTCAGCATGTTGTTACGATTAACGAGCCAAGTTAAAGTTATAGTTGAGTATTTAAAAAGGGGAATGTTTATGCAGGTCGATGTACGTTGTTTGGGTATATTGCGGATAGATGGGAATATCGGCCTCATTGGACGTAAGTACACTTTCTTCACTTCTAAGAATTCACTTTCCTATTTGTGGTTTAAGTACACCTAAATGTAGTTTAATTTATTTCGAAGATTGGTGACTTCTTATGTTTAGTTCTATTTAATCCTTCCAACAATTTGTGCCGAACATTTGTCCAGAGAACTTAATGATGGGCTATCGAATAGTTTTTGATTGGGAAAAGCAGAAGCTCGGTTGGTCCGCCTCCAATTGTAAGCTGATATTTCCATTATTGCAGTAATTTTCATTCAATTTTCGCTACGATCACACTTCACTATTTTTCTCATGCCAGGTGAGGATATTGATGGAGTACATTCGACTCCATCCCCAAACAGCGATGGCGCATCTCCAAATCCGTTGCCAACGACTGAGCAGCAAAACAACCATAGCCGTGCAGTTGCACCTGCTTTGGCTGGGAGAGCTTCTCCAAGTCACTCGCCAGGTTTCCGCCCTATCATTCATTATCAGAATTGTTTGATAACTTTTCTGCTCGTAGTTTTACTTTGGATTGCATATATATAAATTATATGTCGAAATTTAGGTCAGTCTAGAATCGATATATATATATATATCATGTATATCTGTTTTTGGCGCGAAGAATATTTACCATTGGTTGTAGTATCAACTTTTATTTGGGGCCTATTCAAGTTCTTTTTTTTTTTTTTTTTAGATCTTTCGCCATTTTATTTTTGCTCGTTCCTTCATCGATCCTTCTCGGATAGGCTCCGGGATGGATGAATCGTGTGGGATCTTTGAAGAATCTTGGCTAAAAATTAAAGGATGAGTAGATAGATGCAAAGGGTAAGGTGGTTATGGATGGCTAGCTTTGTTTGTTCTTTTTTCTCGGGTCGAATGGGGCGACATTGACGTCGTCCTCTTGGCACTACAAGGTACGTTAGCTGCGGTTAGATATGATTTTTGAAAGTTTTAGAGTTTTGAAAATTTTGGTTAATAGTAAAGTTAAATAATATTTGATATAATATTTTTTCGGAGTTATATAAGTATTTGAATATAATTCTTTTTAGGAATACTTTCGGTTATTGTAAAACTACAGATTGTGTTTTTATTTTACAGCATTGAGTGAAATAAAAATATGAGCTATTTGTTTCTAAATGTCACCTGATGTTAGTTCATTTAACATATTTATATTTTAATATAAATAATATGCAGTCGTCAATAGGTATCTTTTAAATAAAATGATTCGAACTTATCATCTACCATTTAAAGAGTAGTTGATGTGCATTTTTATATTATATATTTATGTATATATGTATATATAAAGCTCATTCGACACTTACTATGACCCAAAATATATAAATGAAAATGCAATATAAACAATACTGATAAAACAAAAATAAAATATACTTCTAAGAATTTTTCGTATAGTCTAAGCCAAATTATCTACAAATAAATGTGCCGATTTAAAGTGGAAATTCGTAACTGCTACCCTTCACGTGCGCTCTGAATAAATTTTCAGGTGAACATAGAGCTGTTTACAATCCGAGTCGAGTCGAGTCGAGTCGAGTCTTAAGTGTTCGTTAACGTTCGCGAACAAGGCTCGTGTTCGTTCGTTAAGCTTTCGAGCTCGGTTCGTTAAGAATTTTTTGTTGTTTGAGCTCGTGTTCGGCTCGTTTAGGCTCGATTAAGTTCATTCGAGTTCGTTCGAGCTCGTTTGTCTTATTTTTTAAAAGTTATATGTAAATTATAAAGAAAATTTAAAATTATTTTATTTATATATTTTAAATTAATGTTTTATTTATTTATAAATTATAATTTTATATGTATATATAATATTTATAATAAATATATTATTTAAACGAACGTTCGCGATCAAAGTTCGGGCTCGTTCGTTAATCAAATGAGCCTGTTTATGTTGTTCGGCTCGATTTGTTAACGTTTGCAAACGAGCTTTAACCGAACCGAGTCGAGTTCACGAACGGCTCGATTCGTTTAACAGCTCTAGGTGAACCTAATAGCCTACTAATTAGCTCTAGGTGAACCTAATAGTCTACTAATTAGGTCTGATAAGACAAAAATTTTTGATGCTATGAGACTATTCAATTTTTTCTTTTTTTTAGTTTATGTTAAGTTTTTCTACGGAAAAATTTTATGCCTAACTGTTCTTATGTTTGGTGAAAGGGTCCGTTTGTTTTTGTGAAATGGTTTGAAAAAAAAATATATATATATATTTACGTGGATTATAGAAAATTGTGTAGGTAATATAAAAATAATGAAGGTGTGTAATATATTATTTTTTTTTTTTTTTTAAATGTGTGTGCTGTTTTTGACAAAAGGATCACACTATTGATGCCCTTGGTTGCATTTGGTATAGGGTATGATATCCATGTATAATGTGTACGGTATGAACTTAAAATACCTAAAAAATTTATTTTTAAAATTCTTCAAAAACTTTAAAACCTCCAAAAGTTGGTGTGTTTGGTTGTATGTTTTAAATTTAAATTTTGAATAGTAAAATTAAACTTTAGTACGATATATATATATATATAAATTAAAATTAAACATTTGATGACTTTTTTTTTATATATATATATTTTGAAATAGTGGAAAACTTAAAAATTCACAACCAACACAATCTTCTTATTTCTTCATTATAAAATATTACTATTATATTACATTTAATATTTATTTTCGATATATTATTTTTTACCACAAATAATTCATAAAGAATTCAGTCAATACTCTTGCTTCTTTCCACATGTGACCATCTCAACCATCTATTCATTGCCACGTGTCACATGATCTGACGGCAACGGTGACAGCCATATCCAAATTGATATACTATAGTAGAACCAGCCAAGAATAAATTACCTTTATCCAATTCTTTAAAGAATTTGTCATTTTTTCTGATAGTGAAATAATAATAAGAAAAAAAAAAAAGAATAAAAAATAAAAACATATTTTTACATTCTCATACCTTCATGAGTAAGGCAATAAATTCGACCATGCATAACATTCTCATTATATACATATACATATATGTAGCAAATAAAATAGAAATTAAAATATATATTTCTTGCATGGACCAAAGGACACACACATATAAAAAAATAAGGCATTGTTACAATTTTCGAGTTAAATTAAATTAAAGTATGATATGGTTATCGAGCTTAGTAACTCATGATATCATTCATTCAAATTTACTTAAGGCAAAAAAAAAAAAAAAAAAAAAACCCACTATTGGCAATTTGTTATATTGTATGATTATCATAAACCCTAATTATAAATAATAATAAGTTATATACTAAATAAAACTTTCATCACAAATAGTAAGTTAAATAAAATAAACAAAAATCCATAATTATACACATGATGTATAACTTTATAAGATACATCTAATTAACAAAATCCTAATCACATGATACCATAAACTACACTAATTCAACAAAACCTTAATTCCAAATCCACAAAGTAATAATACCCTATAATTGGATGGAATTTTTAAAAATTAGTAAGACAATTCATATCATCTATTTTTTTAGAACAATACGATTAGCTTTAGAGTTATATCGTCTCGAAATTATTTTAAAATGAAAAATATATATATATTTTTAAATAATTTTTGAAGTGAATGCGGGTAATGACAAAACATATTGAAAGTAGATAATGATACGCACCAAGTATGATTCTATATGAGTAGACGAAGGAAAAAAAATAAAATCTAGATCTACAAAAATACAAAATCTAAATAAAGAGAGCACACCATCGAAATATTCCAAACTAATAAAAGCCTAAAAAATTTGGTCCAAACTTTTTGAGTGTAACCCTCCAACTTTACTCATCGGAATAATACACTTTTTACTTTCCATGTGCCCTAAGTATAAATTTCTCCGGCCACACAAAATTCATCGCCACACCAATAAAAAAAAAACCTTCCATATATAAGTCGTAAATATTGTTCTCTATATCACATTGTACATTGGTCTTTAGAAGCTACAACTCTTGCTATAATATTTTGAGTCAAGAAAAAGATTAGGGCTTGTCCCCCTCGAAGACACACATACAAAGGATCGTTTTTGTCGCGAAAATAAAGAAGAAAAAATGGGAATCGAAGGGACACTTGATTTCTTGTCGGATGTGTTTAGCGCTGCCCGAAGGAAGAAAAAGAGGCAGCTCAACAAAGTCGATCTCAAGGTTCGAATGGATTGCGAAGGTTGCGGCCATAATGTTAAGAATGTTCTCTCCACCCTCAAAGGTTGATCGAATCTCCAAACCCTAATTATTATTATTATTATTATTATTATTATTATTATTATTATTATTATTTTCATATTATGCCTAAAACATTGTTAAATGCTGAACTTTTATCAAATTGTTTGATTAAATATGGTTTTTGCAATATATATCCATCATTTTTGCATTATATTCAATGAAAGCGATTTAGCTATAGCTTAATTGTAATTAGGGTTTTTATACATCAAATTGAAGTATAGACCCACTACAATAAAGTTGAAATTTAATTGAAAAAAATTTTCGTAGCATAATTCATAGCAAAAATATTTTTACGATGAAACTCATTTCGTCACCTATACCGCGTTAGTAAAGGTCATTGGCGACAAATATGACTTTAGTAACAAAAAATAAATTTTTTTGCAATGAAAATTAAGAATAGAGATATAGCTACAAAAATATGATTTTGTAGCTAAAACTCTTTTGCTATAAATTAAAATTTATAACAAAAGAGTTTTAGCAACATAATATGTATGATTTTTGTAGCCAAATGATTTTAGTTATGAAAAATAATTTTGTAGCTAAAACCTTTTTGTTATGAAGTTAGAATTTTAAGCAAAAAAATTTTAGCGACGAAATTAATTTTGTAGTACATAATATACTTTTAGCGAAATTAAATTTTGTTGCTAAATGACACGTTTTAACTACAAAAATATTTCGTAGTTAAAAATATTGTAGTTAATTAAATATTTTTTTGTAGTGACATAAGTATGTACACATATGTGTGTACATGTTATCTTTGCTACTCGATCTTCGAAAAATAAGAACGTCGAACTAGAGCTTCATTAGGAAGACTTCAATGGAGTAAGTATATTGTAACACTACAAATTAGATCGAACTAATTAACATTTGTCGATGTTTTAGTTTGAAGCGGTCGTAATCTATTAGGGTTTTGGATTGAAATCCTAATTAACATTTCAGATCTTTAGATGGAATCTTTAGATTTATATAATGCATATAGACTATTGTTACGTATATATTTATATTAACATAATTAAATTATGTGTTGCCGATCATCATATCATATCGTCAATTACAATATTAAGTGTTCAACACAAGAATTGTAGTTTACATCAAGGTTAGGCATTTATAAACAAATTAAAGAGATTTCAATCAATCCTAAGCATAAATAAATAAAATAAATTAGGGTTTTCTCTTTTTGTTCTATAACATTATTCTTTCAATCGAATTGAATTATTGATGATTATAGGAGCAAGATCGGTGGAGGTGGACTGGAAGCAGCAGAAGGCGACGGTGTACGGATTTGTCGACGCGAAGAAGGTTCTAAGGAAGGCGAAGAGGATGGGGAAGAAGTGCGAGCCGTGGCCTTATGTGCCTTACGAGCTGATGGCGCATCCCTACGCCCCGGGAGTCTACGACAAGAAGGCTCCTGCTAATCACGTGAGGGGCACGGACGAGCCCGGCGTCGGCACTCTCAACCCTGTCGAGGAGAAATACGCCCAAATGTTCAGCGATGACAACCCCCACGCCTGCTCTATTATGTAGATATATATACATATACATATATATATATATATATTGTAGACTCTCTCTCTCACTCTCTCTCTCTCTATATATAATATATATAGGTATGTATGTTTGTGTGTTTAAGGGTGTGTTTCTTTTGATGAGTTTGGAAAAAAAATTATTTTCGATTTGACATAAAAATAATATTTGATGTGATGTTTTGTGAAAAAAATGTATTTTTTACAACAAACACATAGTCTAACCCCTACACCACCAAGTCATTTTTTACGGGACAACACATTTTGATATAATATATAGTACATATTTTGATAATACATTATATAATTATATATACCACAATATATTTTAATTTAAACACAATACTCAGGTTATACGACACATCACTATATATAACCCACATAAAAAATACTTTCCGTCCCGGTGTCCCATTTACTATAGACACAAAAATTTAGGAGAAGTATAATTAGTAAATAATTAGGAATGTATTAGTGAAAATAATTATCGTATAATAAAAATAATTTTATATTAAAATTAAGATAACTAATTAATCTAATTAAAATTAAAAAAATTATAAATTAAAAAATTTAATATGCGACTAAGTATCTATTTTTTTTTTTCAAAAAAAAAACATATAGAAATAAAAAAGGTAGACACAGTAACTAAGACGGAGTAAGTATTAACACAAAATTTAACACGTTATATAATTCGATATATAACATAACATATATTTTTTTTTGTCTTGTGATAGACACTAGTTACTTCACATTAGTGTGCTTATTAACATGATCAAATTAACACAAGACCAAGTCTAACATCTAACCTCCATCATGGTGGTAACACGACGGTTTTCATATTGAGCCCCACAAACTATGGTAAGGGCATTTCCAACTCAGGGTCATTAATGATACTGAGTTGGTAAATTTGACGTTGGGTTGTTTCAACATATATAAAATCCTAAGCCAATTCTCGGGATTGCCTTTTTATTATTATTATTTTTTGCATATTTATCTATTTTTATTTTGTTTCTTTAAAAAAATTAATATGAATTGTAAATATAAAAAAATTACTTTTATTGATATATGATATAGTATGATATTTGAAGAATATTTTTTTTAATATAAAAAATAAAATTATGGATTAAAATAAAAATAACGTAGCATGTATATTTTTTAAATTAAAACGATACAAATAAAAATTTTAAGTTAAAAATGATTGACAAACTAATTAAGTAAATTATTAAAAAAAAAAAAGTAAAGAAAGCTATGGTCCTACGGCTCCCCCACCGGTCAAACAAGCATATTTATATTTTGTATTTTTATTTTAAGGTGTTTTTAATATTAAATATAAGCTTGAAAGTCTATTGATTATATAAGAAATATTCCATCCGCTCCAACTTAAAATATTATTTTTATTATTTTTGTTAGTTTCATTATATCATTTTTTTATTTTATTAAAATTAATTATGCATTAATATCAAAATAATCTTAATTTTTATTTAAATTATAAACATATCTCAAATATATATATAATTACTTATACATAAAATCAAAGGATAAAATGTCAAAATTTCTTACACATTTTTATTAACCACTAAAATAATACTCTATCCGTCTGTCTCTAAGGGTGTGTTTGTTTGGGGGATTTTCCCCCAAATACCCTATTTATTCAATTTTTTTCTCAAAAAAATCAAATCAAACACCTATTTTTTATTTTTTATATTATACTAAACATTAATTTTACATTCAAAATATCACATCAAATATATGTTGGGAGAAACGACCGTTCAAATGAATGGCTACACCCAAAGTAGGCTGCTTACGTACCCGAACAGGTTCAAGCCATACGTAGTTCTCCTAATACAGGCTATACAGTCAGAGTCAAACAAAACAGACTAGACAAGCCAATGTAGTCTAAGTAGCAAAGGCCAAAGGCAAAATGCCTGAGGCATCAAAACCAAGCAAACAATACTAAGTCTATCAAGTGTAAGTAATATCAACGCTAAGTGTCACAAAAAACAAGTAAGTGGATGTAGCCAGCTATCTGATATGAAAAGTCGGGAAACTATTTGCATCCGCTCGAAAAAGACTTTGATTCGATGAAGTGATATATGTCGGGAGAAGCGTTCGTTCAAATGACTGGCTGCACCCAAAGTGGGTTGCCTATGTAGCCTAACTGGATCAAGCCATACGTAGTTCTCCTAATATAGGCTTTACGGTCGAAAGCAAACAAAACAGACCAAATAAGCCAATGTAGTCTAAGTGAAAAAGAAAAAAGGCAACAGGCCTGAGGCATCAACGCCAATCAAGCGATACTAAGTCAATCAGGTCTAAGTAATATCAACACAAAGTGACACAAAAAACAAGAGGGTGAAGTCTGCTACCTTAAATGGAAAGTCTGGAGACCATCTGCATCCGCTCGAATGAGACTTTTGATCGACGAACTGATATATGTTGTGAGAAGCGTCCGCTCAATCGAATGGCTGCACCCAAATTGGGCTGCCTATATATCCAAACGGGATTAAGCCATACGTAGTTCTCTTGATACGAGCTATACAGTATAAGTCAAACAAAACAGACCAGACATACCAAAGTAGTCTAAGTAGCAAAGGCCAAAGGCAACATGCCTGAGGCATCAACACAAATCAAGCAATACTAAGACTACAATGTATTAGTAATATCAACACTAAGTTTAAAAAAAAAACAAGGGGGTTAATCCTGCTACCATAAATGAAAAGTCGGTAGACCATCTGCATCCGCTCGAAGGAGACTTTTGATCGACAAAGTCATATATGTTGGGAGAAGCGTCCGCTCAATCGAATGGCTGCACCCAAAGTGGGCTACCTACAAACCCAAACGGGATCAAACTATACGTAGTTCTCCTAAGACAGGCTATACAGTCCAAGTCAAACAAAACATATCAGACAAGCCAAGGTAGTCTAAGTAGTAAAGGCCCAAGGCAACATTCCTGAGGAATCAACACCAACTAAACAATACTAAATCTATCAAGTGTAAGTAATATCAACACTAAGTGTCACAAAAAACTAGTAAGAGGGTGAAACCTGCTAACTGAAATGGAAAGTCGGGAAGCCATCTGTATCCGCTCGAATGAGACTTTTGATCGACGAAGTGATATATGTAGGGAGAAGGGTACGTTCAATCGACTGGCTGCACCCAAACTGGCCTGCCTACGTACCCAAACAGGATCAAGCCTTACGTAGTTCTCCTAATACAGACTATACAGTCCAAGTAAAACAAAACAGACCAGACATGCCAATATAGTCTAAGTAGCAAAGGCCAAAGGCAGCATGCCTGAGCCATCAAAAACAACTAAACAATAGTAAGTCTATCAAGTGTAAGTAATATCAACACTAAGTGTCACAAAAAACAAGTAAGATGGTTAAATCTGCTACCTGAAATGGAAATATGGGAGACCATCTGCATCTGCTTGAAAGAGACTTTTGATCGACGAAGTGATATATGTTAGGAGAAGGGTACGCTCAATCGAATGGCTGCACCCAAAGTAGGCTGCCTACGTACCCAAACGGGATCAAGCCATACGTAGTTCTCCTAATACAGGTTATACAGTCCATCTCAAACAAAACGGATCAGACAAGCCAATGTAGTCTAAGTAGCAAAGGCCAAAACAAACATGTCTGAGACATCAACACCAACCAAACAATAATAAATCTATCAAGTGTAAGTAATATCAATACTAACTGTCACAAGAAACTAGTAAGAGGCTGAAACCTGCTACCTGAAATGGAAAGTTGGGAGACCATCTGCATCGGCTCGAAAGAGACTTTTGATCGACGAATTGATACATGTTGGGAGAAGGGTACGCTCAATCGAATGGCTGCACCCAAAGTGGGCTGCCTACGTACCCAAACGGGATCAAGCCATACGTAGTTCTCCGAATACAGGCTATACAGCCAAGTAAAACAAAACAGACCAGACAAGCCAATGTAGTCGAGGTAGCAAAGGCCAAAGGCAGCATGCCTGAGGCATCAACGCCAACCAAACAATACTAAATCTATCAAGTGTAAGTAATATCAACACTTAGTGTCACAAAAAACTAGTAATAGGGTGAAACCTACTACCTGAAATGGAAAGTCGGGAGACCATCTGCATCCGCTCGAATGAGACTTTTGATTGACGAAGTGATATATGTTGGGAGAAGGGTACGCTCAAAAGAATGGCTGCACCCAAAGTGGGCTGCCTACGTACCCAAACGGGATCAAGCAATACGTAGTTATCTTAATGAAGGCTATATAGTCCAAGTCAAACAAATCATACTAGACAAGCCAAGGTAGTCTAAGTAGCAAAGGCCCAGGGCAACATTCTTGAGAAATCAACACCAATGAAACAATACTAAGTCTATCAAGTTTAAGTAATATTAACACTAAGTGTCACAAAAAAAACAAGTAAGAAGGTGAAACCTACTACCTGAAATGGAAAGTCGGGAGATCATCTGCATCCGCTCGAAGGAGACTTTTGATCGACGAAGTGATATATGCTGTGAGAAGGGTACGCTCAATCGAATGGCTGCACCCAAAGTGGGCTGCCTACGTACCCAAACGGGATCAAGCCATACGTAGTTCTCCTAATACAGACTATACAGTCCAAGTAAAACAAAACAGACCAGACATGCCAATATAGTCTAAGTAGCAAAGGCCAAAGGCAGCATGCCTGAGGCATTAACGCCAACCAAACAATACTAAATCTATCAAGTGTAAGTAATATGAAAACTAAGTGCCATAAAAAACTAGTAAAGAAGGTGAAACCTGCTACCTGAAATGGAAAGTCGGGAGACCATCTGCATCCGCTCGAAGGAGACTTTTGTTCGACGAAGTGATATATGTTGGGAGAAGGGTACGCTCAATCGAATGGCTGCACCCAAAGTGGGCTGCCTACGTACCCAAACGGGATCAAGCCATACGTAGTTCTTCTAATAAAGATTATACAGTCCAAATAAAACAAAACAGACCAGACATGCCAATATAGTCTAAGTAGCAAAGGCCAAAGGCAGCATGCCTCAGGCATCAACACCAACCAAACAATACTAAATCTATCAAGTGTAAGTAATATGAATACTAAGTGCTATAAAAAACAAGTAAAGAAGGTGAAACCTGCTACCTGAAATGGAAAGTCGGGAGACCATCTGCATCCGCTCGAAGGAGACTTTTGTTCGACGAAGTG